TCACATTATTTTTAATTTCAGGAAGGAAACAAAAAACTAAAATAATTTTGGAAATACAATGTTTTATAAAACAATATTACCATTTTCTAATACTTCAGGTATATTTTACACTCAACAAGCAAGTTTAGCCTAAATAAAAATTTGTCAGTTAACAATTGTTAAAAGCACAAACTGTAACTCTGTACTGCTGAAGCTAGCCGTTACTTTGTGTGCACTGTCGCAGAAATGAAAAATGTAAATCTCCAATAATGTCTAATAATGAAATGTCTTGTTTTCTTAAAACAATTACTTATGTCGAAATAGTTCTTTCTCGAAGAGTAATAACTTTTTTCACCTAGTCATTATTTACTAATTTAAAATCTTGAGATGATATGTTATTAGTTTGAGCTAATGAGTCATAAATTCAACATTTTTCTTTGCCCACCTGGCGGAAACGGGCTTCCACATGAGCCAAACAGAGAATAATACTGCGCTGGTCATGTTAATTACAAAGTTGCACCTGTGTTCATTTGCATGGAAGTTCTTAGTAGACAACCTGCTAAATTGGCACTGGCTCAATAGACTGTCAGTAATTAGCACCTCTTTCAGTAAATCTTGTGCATAATCCCAAAGAATTTCTTTTTAATTAGGGAGCAGAATATGAACAATGTGATTGTAAGCCTTTCCTCTATTTTTTTTTCTCTTTGAAACAGACTGACCTGTCTCACCGGGCTGATGTGCTTGACCTGTTTCCGGGCGTGTTTCAGACACTACAGATAGTGCCAGATACTGAGGGCACATGGCTGCTCCACTGTCATGTATCTGATCACATTGAAGCTGGCATGGAGACCACCTACACCATCAGATCTGGAACAGGTGAGACAGCTGCTTCAGAGTATGATTGGTGAAATTACTTGTTGGACAGAGTTATTGTCCATGTTTACTTGATCTTAGTCTACTGTCTCTGTGTTTTAGGTGCCGGTGCTGTGGGTCCACACCTTGCCATCATTTTCATCCTGGCCTTTGTTTCCACCCTCAGACTCATGTGATTTGGTACCAAAGATACGTTAAAGTGCATTATTTTAGATTTTACATTTGTTTAAATCATAATGTGACTTTTCTGTATCTTTTAGGCTTTTTAATAAATTATAATCCATTCATTGTGAGTGAATCTTTTTTTTTTCTTGTGTTAAAGACTTGATGCATGATCCCATCTCTTAAGCAAGATAGCTAAATGCAAGCAGTTCTCTGTTCTCCTGTCTAATGCATGCAGTAGCCATAATTCCACACAGCCTGGCACTACTGTGCAGTAGCTGTTTGGGATGGGAGGTGTCCTGTGAAATGTTGAAAAAATGTTGGGAAAAAAGAAACATGGCACTCATGAATTTAAGTCTAAGTGTAAAGGAGATCTAGAACGTCTATGTATCCAAACTGATGTAGATAATGCATCTCTCTCTAAGTGGATGAGCACAGAAACCAAACCCACATCTTCCAGTAAAGAGGAACCCAAGCAACTAATGGAACAGGGGGTCCACCATAGTGACTCAAATTCAGGGAAGAGTGAGTAGTGTGCAACTTAAAAACTGTAATGGTATATTACATACATATTTAGCAGATACTCTTCTCCAGAGAAACTTAGAATTTAATCATGTTACAGATGCACAAGGACGCCTATTGGTGTAGCATGGTGTGCTTGTGTGTGGGCTTGGGTGGTACCTATTTTTCATACCTTAATAACTTTCTAACGTGAAATGTTAGGAAGGCATTAACATATGAAAAAAAACCTGCTGAGCTGATGGTGATAGAAGTCACTTACAATACTTTTTTGCCATCTCATCCAGTGTAATGTCAAAATCGAAAAAAGTTGTTTGCTTTACGCGGTTACGAAAACAATTTTCAAGCCATCGTTCAATAAATGTCAAATCGCCTGAACTGAAAAATGTTAAACTGCTGCGAAAGAGAAGTCGCTATGATATATATATATATATATTATATATATATATATGCACATTTTATCAGGGTTATCACTTGCTATATAGGTGCACTTTGTAGTGCTACAATTACAGACTGTAGTCCATCTGTTTCTCTGCATACTTTGTTAGTCCCCTTTTACCCTGTTCTTCAGTGGTCAGGACCCCCATGGACCCTCACAGAGCAGGTACTATTTGGGTGGTGGATCATTCTCAGCACTGTAGTAACACTGACATGGTGGTGGTGTGTTAGACTGTGTTCTGCTGGTACAAGTGGATCAGACACAGCAGTGCTGCTGGAGTTTTTAAACACTGTGTCCACTCACTGTCCACTCTATTAGACACTCCTACTTTGTCGGTCCACCAGTCAGAGATGATAGCTCATCCGCTGCTGCACAGTTTGTGTTGGTCATCCTCTAGTCCTTCATCAGTGGTCACAGGACGCTGCCCACAGGACACTGTTGACTGGATATTTTTGGTTGGTGGACTATTCTCAGTCCAGCAGTGACAGTGAGGTGTTTAAAAACTGTGAAGTGATGTCAGTTCATCTATTGTTACGTCATATAGTGCTCTATTTCTAAATGTTACTACTGCAGGATGACTAGTTCTACCCTCAGTCTTGGTAAACTGGAAATCCAATTGTGAATCTGAATAGGCCACCAATCCAGTGATTCAGCCTGTTTTTTTTTTTTTGGAGAAGCTAAACTGTCCCTAGGTATGATTGTATATGTCTGTGTGTCTGCCCTGTGATGGACTGGCGACCTGTCCAGAGCGTTTCCTGCTTTCCATCCAGTGACAGCTGGGATAGGCTCCAGCAGGATCCTCCAGAAGAATAAACAGCTTACATAGTGTGTGTGTGTGTGTGTGTGTGTGTTTCTGTGACTGCTACACCTTTGAATGGTCAACTACAGTCTGGTAAATAAGCTGTGACTGCGGGAAGCAAGGGCGACGTGGCTCCATGCCCTTCCGCTCTGAAGCCAAATTTCCTCTGCCATGTTGTCAAATCTGGAACCAGAGTTTGCGCAGTAGAGAGGAGAGTTTAAGTCAGGTACTCCTACTCATTTGGCAGGCCCACTCAACAGTTTCCTGTCCAATCAGACATAGCTTTTCTTCAAAATGCTCTGAATGAACACTCCAGGTTATCAATACTGTAAAAATGTAGGAAAGCGTCGTGCCGTGTCCGCGGTGGTCCGTGCTATAGAGAAACGGAGAGACCCTGCGCGCTCACGAACCTGTCAATCAACTCAACGCCCAGCTGTCAATCACCTCGTTCTCACACTTTTTTTTCAGTATCACCGAATAACTTCTAGAAGAATTTATCGTGAAAAATATTGGGGTATGTTTTAAAGGCACGTACAGAAGCTTGTGTAAGTGTCACCACTGGCAAAAATTACCTAATGTGTAAACTTCAATTAAAGTTTCAATTAAGGTTTCAGTCGCGTTCACTTTCATGGGAGTGGGCGGGATTAAAAGCTGCACTGCAGCCAGCCACCAGAGGGCGTGAGAGACATTTTGCCTTCACTCCTATATGCAGTCTGTGATGTAGATTTGTGTTTGCAGGAGGCTTTTGCTCCCTATTCTTTTGCAGATTTAGGGTTAGGTCTACCAGCAAGGTTACAAAGTCCACCTATTCCAGGCACATACAGAGAGGCGAGCGCCACGGCTGCTGTGCGCTCATTGGACGAGAGGTGTCACATGAACAAACGTGTAGCACCCTCAATAGTGACTCCATTAAAGAGCTGCACTTCTGTGCTGATGTGCTGCTTGTGTTTTCATTATTAAAGATTTTTTTTGCAAGTATGCATGTATAATCTGTGGCCGTGTGTGTTTAAGTGGTAAAAGGTCAGGGCTATCTACATTGGCTAATCTCATGATGCCTGAAGCTCTTTAATTTAGCCCACTTTCACAGAGATGCAGATTCTTTGAATTCATTAGGTGTGGTGGCCTATAGTAACTCAATAAGTCTCTCTTTTTGTTCCTTGTAAGCTGTTAAACATTGTTCTAGCTGTCTTCTCGGTTTATTAGCATTGTATCCCTAAGTAGACCTCAAAGGGGAACTCCACCAATTTTGATCAATGTCTGAATAATTCAGTCCTTTAGGTGTAAACATGATCATTTAGAATAGTTTGATGTGAAGTGGTTCATTGTGGACACACTTACAGTGGTGGTGATAGGAGGGGTCACGATGTCTATAATACAAGTAAAGCCATTTATTTACTATCTACATTTTATATTTTACATTTTATATTACTACTACATTTTATTAACCACTAGTGAACCTTCACATGTCTTTTGAGTGTTTATATGTAATGTTGATGATGATAAAACAGTCATAAATCTAAAAAAAAAAAAGGTTTCTTTGGGGATTGCATGTACCCTTCCTCCGTGAATGGATTAAAATAAAGGGAGCAAAATACACTTTAAGCCCAAAAATGTCTTCGAAACTATCATAAAACAAGATGTCAGACATCAGACAGCATATATCTAATTATTTTATGTAGTGCAAGGGAGGTTTCAGACTCATTAACCTTTTCAGACGTCTGGTTCCTATCACCACCAATGTGAATAGTTCTGTCTCGGCAAGTTTCTCTAGAATAGAGCATTTCACACCAAACCACTCTGAATGACCTTATTAACATATTAACTGTTTAATTATGTAGATTATTCTAAAAATCTGCGAAATTCCCCTTTAAGCCAGTAAGTAGCCAGGTTTTCTTTCAAGCTATGAAGTTAAAACCAATAGCTTAGATACATTGACAAGTATGTATGACTGAAGAGTCTATTACTGATGCAACAGGCAGTAAACTCGTTTGCTCTGATCCACTTTAAAGGCATTTAGAAGAAAATCCTGAAGATAAAATGAAAAGTACGGTGAATTGACTTGTTTGAGATGTGTACAGTATTTCTACATGGATAGAACATAATACGTTAATCAGGTCAGTTCCATTCATGTTTTTTTTTTCTTGAAGCCATCTGAGAGAGGAGGAGCTCAAGACCTGCGAGTCTTGCATGTGGATAAGCTCTGTTATCAGTCCACTGCTTTTACAGGCTGCTGGAGAGTCTAGGAACAGCGAGATCTGCTGTGTGCAGATGTATTAGAAAGCCTAAAAGCCTAAAATAGACACATTCTGTAGTAGTCTGTTCCCCGACTACTTAAAACTTTCGCTTAGAACCCCTTAAAACTTCCAGATGGGGTTGTGTGACAGATGCGCGCGACTTCTGGACGACTTTAAAAGTCTGGTGAAAGCGAAGGCGGCGATTTTTGTGCAGAAACTCAAGGATGTTGTAAATAGGATCTCGGAATGCTGCTGTTCGAAAAAAGCTTTGGCATCTCAAGAAAAACTTCATGAGCTCCTCCGTCGACACGATGTGAAAAGCAGACCTTCTCACTTGACCACAGGTCGGTACTCAAAACCTCAAATTAAAGGTTTGTTTTATCTACAGCCTTAAAATGAAGAGAATCTACAGCGATGCTACAGACATTTTCTGCAGGGCTCCTGTAAGAATCTAAAAGTACATTAAGACAATTAAACAGTTTACTACAGAGAATTACCGAGCCCCGCTTATAACAGCCTGTAAAAATAAAAACAATGCGTGGCCACGCCGTATTAACGCGTGTGAACGAGAACCTAGCGCGTGGGAACGAGATAATTAAGTCGTGGCCTCGTATTAGGATCTCGTTCTCACGTATTAACACAGCGTGACCACCCATTATTATTTATTTGGGATGTCACCAGCAGGATTCTGAAAAGAAATTACACAAGTGTTGGAAATTACTATGACACAGGATTAATATTTTGCAAAAAATTAGGGTGCAAGTTTGGTCTAATAACTCGGAGAGAGGCCGTCAGGAGGCTATAGCCTACGTACAGCAGTTCAAACATAAAAATTGGTAAACAATGTATGGCTGCAATTACACTTACCATAATTATGTCTTATAGCTTTTATATGTCAATATTGTGGCACAAAACACACACACACATATTTTCAAAACCATTCATTCTTTGGGTCAAGGGGGCTGCTGGAGCCTATCCCAGCGGTCATCGGTCGGAAGGCAGGCACAAAACAGAAAGGTGTAATATTACTAATATACATTGCCTAAATAAAATATTTAATACATAAATTGCCTTTTACAGTGGTATGCAAAATACCCTAATAATGACAAATATGATGAAAATTAAGAAGAAAAAGGAAAGACTATTAATAACTGTTATGATGTAAGTCAACAATCATTGTACAGTAAAAAAGTGAAAACAAATCCAGGACAGATTAGAGCTTCTTTCTTTTTGTCGTTACTGACTTTAACTAAACAAAACAGCTACCTACTTTTTGCCTTAATTACAGTTTTTAAAGTGTATTGACAGCTGTATTATAGTTGATATCTGACAGCTGTGTTGCAAATCAGCAATGCATTTTTTTGACAACCATCCCTCGAAATTATTTTGCATGATTTCAGAAAGTAGAGGGGGCATGTCCCTGTCAGCCTCCCCTGCATTTGCACCAGTGTACATAATTATAAAAACAGCATACATCACTATAAGTCTTACAGTTTCTTGCAGTATTGCTACAGATCTTTTATACTTACTGGAAATGAATATTGTTGTCATCAGAACATATTTTTGTTTTTTTTATTTTATTTTTTTATTGTTGTTGTTGTTTTGCCCTAAATATGGCCAAGCAATGTCTTCCACACCTGCTTTAAGCTGATCACTGTTTGGGATGCCATTTGTTTCTTTAGTTACAGTGATTGGTTAGGTCACAGTTAAGAGACCAGTAATATGAAAATGTCTCATTTGCATAAACACAAAAGACTCTGGTTATTTATAGTCTGTGTCTTTTGTATGGAAGGATCTTTCAGCATATGGTTCAGCAGTTAGCTACAGTGACATATCAGACCAGTTGTTACCAATATTATAAATATAATGTCTTGGATCTTTATACTATGTTACTTTCACAGCACAGAGTCGTGTCCCCGCTGCATTTCTGGAGACATGCTGTACTCTCCTGCAGTCAGAGGACATGGAGGTTCAGAGGACAGTCTCTCTGTCCATGCTCAATCTTCTCACAGACAGCAAAAGTAAGTGAGCCCTAATGAGAAAAGCTTTCCAGTACCCAAAACAACCAAAACCACAATAAAAGTCTCACAGTCTGTTCTATGCAGTGCCACTCAAGCTTTATTATGACAATATAATGTTGTAGATTTGGATCTGATTGGTCTGTAGTACAAGTTTTGTAGCTTGTATGGTTTAACAAAAACTGCAGAAAGCACACTGTGTCACATATCCAGAGCTGTTGATTTAATGTTTTTGTATTTATTTTTCTCAGTAAAAGAAGAGCATGTCATTGAGATGGGCGTTCTGGAGCCACTTGTTGATCTGCTGCAGTCGGGTGATCGTACAGTTCAGTGTAACTCCAGTGCCTGTATTGCTTTGCTAGCCTCCTCAGGTGTGTATTTTCTCATTTATTTTGAGTGATTTTCGAATCCTGGACCAATTTTCAAAGTTGTTTCCTGCAAAATGACCTCTCACAAATGGCTGCTGTTTCATGTGAGCTTTCCTGCTTCAGGTGAATTTAGTTTTGTTCTCTTGGAGATTTTACCCTGTCAAAAGGTCAATCAAAGGTTCTTTAGTAAAGGCCATAGTTCTATGTAACACCATAAATGCTCAAAGAACCTTTTAAATGCATCATTTTTTTGCTTTTTTTTTCGCATCGTCAACAAATCTCTGTGTTGTCCCATATTGTCCTGTATATATAACCCTTTTTGCTAAGAGTGTAGTTTATGTTTATAGACTGACGCTACGGACAAATGCTCCGACCGCATCCACTATATATTCTGACAAAGATTCCGTGATTTCATCCTTTTCATTCAGATTCAAACCGAGAGGCTATTGTGTCCTCTGATGCTGTGCTACCTCTGCTTGTTTTGGCAAGGGCCTTTGATCCAAAAGTTCAACAAAATGCTGTCAGAGCTCTTCATAATCTCACCAAATCTGGTAAGGTTTTAACAGGCCTTGTGACCAAGTGAATTTGCAGTGGTTGCACGTCGCTGAATTGTTCATGAGGTCCAAATCAATAGTGTAATACACTCATTGGTTCACATTACAAGCCTCAGAATTGACTGTGCTGTTAATCTTCTCTAGAGAAAGCAATGTGTGTGCTGTGTGAGGAGGGGGTTATACCTGTGCTGGCTCTTCTGTTACAGTCAGCTGATTCTGACGTCCAGGTACTCCAATGATGCCATTCTGTCATCCTCATGTTTGTAGATACCTGCTTGTCCAAAATTTCTACTGAAATAAAGGGTATTGATAGGGAATGTTCCCCATTTCCCATAGTAACTTCTGGTTACCCCCTTTGGCTTAGTTATGTATTTTCTTCTGGGAAGGCTTTACTGTTGAACACTGCTATGAGGATTTGATTGCATTCAGCCACAACAGTATTAGTGAGGTCAGGTTCTGATGTTGGATGATTCGGTCTGGATTACAAACACCACTCCAACTCATTCCGGAGGTATTGAGTTGTGTTTCCAAGAATGCAATGCTGGAGAGCTTTATATCCCTCTACCCGATACTTAGCATTGGGCATGGTGACTAGCTGCTCCAGAGCATCCCAGTCAATTGGCAGTGCTTTTCTTTGGAGATTATACAAGCTGTGTCTGTGTGCAATTGAATGGCTGTGCCTGAAATTGGTGCACCTTAAAATAGCTGAATTCACTAAATAGAAAGGCTGTGTTGATACTTTCACACATATAGAACCAGTTTTCCAGACCCAGATTAGGCCTAAGCCTAGACAAAAAAGAATTTCAAATGATGCTAGAGTTAAGTCCATGCATGGTGATGATTCACTAACATGAAACCAAGCTCTACATGTAACCTTACATTATGGTCTTTTCTCAGTTCTACAGCTGTTCTGCATTGAGTAACATTGCTGCAGCTCCAAAGCATCATTCAAAATTGCTCCAAATTGGTGACCGTTTCCTGCTGAAATCCCTGGTCTCACTTATGGGCTCATCTGTACTCAAGGTAGGGAGAAACTGGTCAGGGTAGAAATCTGTCTATAGTGATATATCACATTCTGTGATTGGTCTTCTATGTTTGTTCCATTGTCCACTAATTGATAATTATATTTTCATGTTTTATCAGAATTCTACTCAGGCCTGTGGGTGTCTCAGGAGCCTCATTGGAAATGGTAATTTGTGTAAAGATAATTTTAATATAATTTAGATATATTATTTAAAGCCAAATCAGCATGTCAGAATGGCTGTAAGGCTACTATAAGTAAACCTACTCAAAGACCTACTCAAAGTTTAGAGATTAGATTTCTCATAGAACTTCCGTAACATTTTCAGTCACCCTGCTCTGGGAATTGTTAAGATTTAACAGTCCGGTCCTCAAGGCCACTCCCCAAAATGGATTGTCTGAACATCTTGACTCCTAAGGTGCTGATCCTCTACTATTCAGTGCTTAACTATTGACTATTGATGAATGGATACCTTTGAGTAAAAGTGTTTTTTTTGCAGGCAGCGTCTGGTGATTGATGACTTGAAAACTGTGTGTGTTCCTCAGCCCCTGGATTTATTATACTTCTTGGTTGCAGGTGAGGCACAGCGGCAACTGGTTGGGCTGGACTGGGTATACCCACTGCTGACCCTGCTGAAGGCCCCAGAGCTCAGCTCCTCCGAGGCTGCCGTAATGCTGCTTTCTGAGCTCTCTGCCCATCCACTCAACAAAGTAAGTCACTGTACACCAGTGCTGGGGTTCTTTCTTTTATTAATTTGTTCAGCTCATGAACTGTAACTTATCTCACTGCCCAAAACTGATCCGTACAGTCATCTGCAGTCATATGCACAAGTTTGAACACACCCAGTTTTGTTGATTTTCTGAATGAAAATAAGTTAACACATCCTCTATGAAGAACAAGCTTAAATATGGCTTTTTTTTGCAAATTTTAGTGCACCTTTTCTATTTATTTGTTGATTTGAACATAATGGAAAAAAGGAAACATAAAATATAAAATGTAACATTATCTTTGCACATAATGCATTGTATGTTTTATTTTCCCCCAGTATGTGAAATACAGCAAAGAAAACAGTAATTGTGCATTCAAATCTGCAGAAGTGTGTTCCCTGCAGATAATGTTATTTTCATTTTCTCTAATTAATACTTCTTGCATTTCAGGAGTCTCTGGTGAATCAGGGTGTGGTACCCATTTTAGGGGAGCTACTTCTAATGTATCTGCCTAACTCTACTTTAGTAACTCACTGTGCCATCACCCTCACACACCTCTGGGATATTGTGGCGAGCCAGGAGGTACAAATACTTACACAATCTCTCAATCACACCAGTGAGGTTTAAAACAGGTTTTGAAACATTTAAAGTTCTTGTGTTAGATCATAAATTATTAGGATGTAAACCAAGACAGTCAGAGTGGTTTGATATGAATTCCTGGACATAGAAAAACCTAGTAAATCCGAAAAAGAATCACACTTGTGCTTAAAGGAACCAGATAACTTAAGAGTTTAATGTCTCTTTCACCATTACTCTAAAGAAATCTGACTGGCTAAGTCTCTCTACAATGCTCACATCAGCTGAATGACTATTAAATTAGATATTTAGAGAAATTGGTGGAATTATCCTTTAAGGGCTCTTATTTAAACTCAAATATCTAATTTGCCTTTGTGTAAAATAATGACATTTCTAAGTAAGGGGGCAATAATTTTAATACAGTTTGAAAAAATTAAAAAGATCAAACATTCTGCGTAGTAAAATTTATAATGTATCTTTCTCTTTTAAGAGTCTGTGATCTGCTATGTTTCATGGAAACCACTGTCAGTGATCAAATCTAGGCATCAGGTGCATCCTATCAGCGTAAAGTGGGAGGGCTTATGCAATTCACTTACCCATGTTCAAATGACTTGGGTGGGTTGTTTTTTGGGCTTATGTTGTTGAGGGCAGGCATTCCTCAAGTTCTATTTGAAATCTTTTATATCTGAGCTAAGTTCATCTGCATATACAATTAGAGCACTGAATCAAGACATTACATTCACATAAAATACCAAAAACTGAGTTGAATCTTGTCTCAAATTATAAATCACATCAAACTTAAAAATATATATACAGTCATGTGCAAAACCTTGAGAAAATGACATGTTTTGTTGAAGTGAAAATAAGTTTACACCTCCTCTACAGAACAGATTTAAATATAGTGTGCAAATTTTAGTGCATAATTTCAATTTATTTGCTGAGTTTAACATATTGGGGAATGAAAACATAAATTTAAAATGTGCCATACCTTTTGCACAGGTCACATTTTATGTTTAATTTTCAGCAGTTATCAGTGCATTAAAATGTGCAGAAGTGTGTTATCTGTAGAGGATCTGTACTTAATTTTCACTTAAAGAATGAACAAAACATGTCATTTGAGCAGGGGTGTCCAAACTTTTGCATATAACTGGGTCATTACACCTCTATTTATGTGACTTTCTCCATAAGTCTCTGTATGTTCTAAGTACAGAATGTGTCTAATGTTATATTATTTGTCATTGTTTAGACTGTACTGGAGACAGAGTGTCTAACTGGGCTTCTTCTGGCTCTTGGGTTTGATTGGAATGAAAATGACAATGTTTTAAGTATACTAGCCTGCCTCCATTCACTGGCTTCTTTTGGTAAGAATAATATCTCACCAGTACAAGAAGCATTTACAGTTACATACTAAGTAGCATGGATATATTTCATTGCTTTATGCACTTGAAAGAGAGTTAGTGCCAGTCTGTCTTTGAGAAACAATGCACTTGATTACCATTTGATTGGTTTTTATAAGATCTTAATGCTTTACGCTACCAAACATATTTTCCTGCATGCACACTCAGTTGATTGCCTCATTCTTTATCTGATAATCAGCTATTGCCATGTTATTTTCAGACTCCCTCAGATCACGTCTTATTGAGAAAATGACTGCTTCTCATGTTGGCAGACTTGTGAGCATCTCCAGCGAAAGTGAAAACTCTGACTTGTCTTTTGCTGCTGGTTCTGTAATCAGCAAATTAGACATGAATGGTAAATGTTCGACTTTAATGATATTGCTTTATTGTGTTATTGTTCACTGATTAACCATCGCTGCACTCCTCATGTTGTGGTATTTTATACAGATAAACTGCTTAAACCTCACCACAGAGCCATTGTAGGATACTTGATGAGATTCCTTCGCAATCAAGAAGTGAGATTTCAACAGCTTGCAATTGCCAGCGTGTATAATCTAAAAAAAGGTGAGTCGGCACTTTTTCCAAATTACTATGTGTTTTCCACAATGTTTCAGCCTATAAGTACACAAACTCACTCATTCTCAGTCAAATGAGAAGTAAGAGCAAAAATACCTCTGAGCCCAGGTGAAGCCTTTGAATGTCGGTTGGCAGCTGAATGATAAGATTGTGGGTGTGCAGGTGGAGGGCTGGATGGAATGACGTGTGGGTTGGAGCTGGAAAGGGAACTGAACAGAGTTCAGCAGCAGACTGAACACACCAGACAGCTGCTCCAGATGCTTCAGCAGGACACCTGCACCTGAGCCACCAACTTAGAAAGCAGTGATGTGTTTATGAAGAACCACAAACTGGTGTTCATTTTTCATCAGGTTTTATTACAGTTTTAGATATTGGTATTTTCTGTTTATCTCACTTTTTATTTACATTTGTTTGAGTCATGTATGTGCGTCTGTGTGTATTTTCAGAACTTTGAAAACACATTGTTTTATATTCTTCTAAATTTGTACTGATGTACTCTGACGATCAAAATCCTGGATGACTTGACAATATGTTTTACATATGTGATGGAAAATGCCTTAAAGAGCAATAAAAAGGACACTGAGAAGACACTGTGTTTACAGGAGAAGGTTTTTTACAATCTGATAAAGTAAACTTACACTCCATATTCATATCTGAATAAGTTCTGCATTGACTTCTTGGCCAGGTCAATTGAGGACAGTGTAAATGAGAGCAAGATTGAAAAAGACAAAATATGGAACAAATGGATGATGATGAATTATTAACTATTCAGGTAATGGAAAGCTAACTGTATAGTAAAGTGCTGCATGTGCTACATTTCAAACACAAATGTTTGATAATAAAAGTATTGTGACAAGTTCCAGAGACAGCCTTAAATAAGGCATACAGTTGGAGCAGGAGTTGTATGTCCTCCTTCAAAAGCTCTACAGTTTCATCTGTAGTACAGATTGTTTTCTCTCACTAACATTATTTTAAACAAAAGTATACCTCTCCCCCTATATAGCGTAGATTATGTAGAATTCGCTGTAGCGGTTTTCTGCCAAACAAGCCCAAACACTACAAGCCCCAGGATGCAATTGTTACACATCTCCACGCATGCGTATTGGAATCCTCGAATTGGAAAAGCTGGTGAAAGTTGGTTCCTTGTGTTTAGCTAACGTATATGTCCGTTTCGGATCTAGTTGGGAAAGATGGCTGCTAGATATGATAGAGCTATAACTGTCTTCTCTCCTGATGGTCATCTGTTTCAAGTAGAATATGCTCAAGAAGCGGTGAAGAAGGGTTCTACAGCTGTGAGTATTCTGCCGTACAGCTAGCTGTGTTTTCAGTAGCTTTGGCTAACAAGAAGGCTAGCTTCTACTCCAGCTAACTAGCTAGCTACTCTGGTTAAAATGATAGGTAACTGAAGTGACTGGCGTGTCGCGGATAACTATTAAATACCGAACTGCTGAAATTGGTCCAATAAATTATCAAAACCTCCAGCCAACAAGCTGACTAACGCATCGCCGCTGGCTGTGCTAACTGTTAGCCTAGCGTTAGCACCCTTTGAATGAGAAGTCCGCTAAGCGTGACTTGCATGTTATGGAGCGGTGTGCTAGCTTTGACGCTAGCAGGCTAACATAGGTAGCTAGCTGCATTAAACGATTTATTGTGTTTATAGATTGCATAATAAATTAAAAGTAGCAGGACTAGTTCAGCATAAACAAGTCTGCACTGTGATGATATCTATGGTACCGCTAGATATTATTCTTGTTGAATAATGGTAAGACCGGACACAGAGCTGAATTAGGTGTGATATAGCCACGCACCTGTGGAGGGCAACGTAGGATTATAACTGAGTTCTGGCTTGGAGATTTTTTTATTGTTACTTTACCAACGTTTGGATTGAATGGAAAAGCTGCCTTTGTTTACAAGTCAGATACAGGTTTGCAAGTTATGTAAGAAGTGAGACTGATACGTTGACAGAGCTACTAACAGAAATTGCCCTAATGTTTTCTTTATTTTGTTTTTCCTTAAGGTTGGAATCCGGGGGAAAGACATTGTTGTGCTAGGTGTAGAGAAGAAGTCTGTGGCAAAGCTACAGGAAGAGAGAACTGTTAGGAAGATCTGTGCCCTTGACGAACATGTTTGTATGGCCTTTGCAGGTAATTCTTTACTTTCTCAAAATCCAAGCAAAGCGTTTGCATGGTCAGACTCACTTTGTCACATTAAGCTTTTTGAGTCAGTCTGTGTAGTCTAATATGATGCTTGTTGTTAGATTATGCTCTGAAAGGGAAGCCAAGACAATATACTCTTTTTATTGGCATTAACAATAAAGCTTTAATGTAATAGTAGTAAAAGTGAACTGTATACTTTGTTCCCTCACAGGTCTTACAGCTGATGCAAGGATTGTCATTAACAGAGCAAGGGTGGAGTGCCAGAGCCACAGACTTACAGTGGAGGACCCTGTTACTGTAGAATACATCACTCGATACATTGCAACCCTTAAACAGGTACCAGTCTTTATGAAACCCAGACTTTTGCACATTACATAATGCAAGGAGCTTTGTTAGTATTTATACAGATTGGATTTTCTTTAGTTCCTGTCAAATGTAAACAAACAACCAAGGGGTGTAACAATACATATGTTTTCAGATTGAAAACAATTTGCTGTTCTGAGGTCAAAATTTGATACGATGAGATTAGATTCTCTCTAGTTATGTTCTATACAGATTGGCATGGTTCAGATAAATGGTCCCAAATAATTTTTAAACAGAACTTTTAAAAAATTCCTGTCATGCCAGCCACCTAACAAAAAAGCCCCAACAGTCACAACCTCGAGAAGTTATAGGCAGCTTCAGAAAAATGCACATTTGAGTGTGGGTATGTGCATAACCTAAGCCACGCCACTTCCACTTTCCTCTTTTAGGATGCACACAGTTCCCTAGTTTTGATGACTGACTGTGGTTTTCATGGCAAATAGCAAATAAGGGACCCTCAGGAGAGACTGAGAGAGGTGTATCTGTGATGCACTGTTTTGAAGTGTTGTTTGTTTGTTTGTTTGTTTGTTTGTTTGTTTTTGGGATACCGTGTTGAAATTGTTATGCTTTTTTTTTTCTTAACTACTTTGAGTGTATATTGTCTCCCTAATGTTACTTGGTTTCGTTCATTCATAATGCTGTTTAAATTCCTTTGTTAGCGTTATACACAAAGCAATGGACGGCGTCCCTTTGGTATCTCTGCTTTGATTGTGGGTTTTGACTATGATGGGACCCCACGGCTGTATCAGACAGACCCTTCAGGAACATACCACGCATGGAAGGTAAGGAAGAGCAGGTCTGTAAGCAGAACTGTATCATTAACATGCTACTTATGTGTTCATCTGTATAATTATCTCCAATTATGATTCTTAAATAATTTTCCATCCTTTCCTCATTTGTTACCAGGCAAATGCAATTGGACGCAGTGCTAAGACTGTGAGGGAGTTTCTGGAGAAGAACTACACAGATGAAGCCATTGCTAGTGACAATGATGCCATCAAACTGGCTATTAAAGCCCTGCTAGAGGTACAAATATCATAATCATCCATCATTCTATAAACAAACCTGCTCAAAACACATTGATTTTTCAGACAGGATCATATGTTTGCATTTTCTTTAAAACTGTTTGAATTCTCTTACTTAGGTTGTCCAGTCTGGTGGTAAGAACATTGAGCTGGCTGTGATCAGGAGAAACCAGCCCCTCAAGGTAAAAGTCTGTCCATTCATTAATTTGATAGTGTTGGGTGTTTTAACATTTTTTTCTGATTTTTGATTATTTATGCCTTGTTTGTTTATTATTATTTATATATGTACCGCATAGTGGTTTTTAATTTTAAATTAAACTGATTGATGTCTACAAAGCAGGGAAGGCCTATAAAATTATCAAAGCGCTTCCAGTTTGTAATTTCGCCTGTCCAAAATGAAGCAATATCAGTTAAGGTGAACTGTGGTAGTCTGGATCTGGAAGACCAAGAAAACTGTCTGTAGAACTGCTCGAATGCTGGCCAGAAAGACAACACAAAACCCCCATGTGACTGCAGAGGACCTGTAGGAAGGTTGAGCTGACACAGGAGTGGTGGTACACTCTTCTACTGTGCAGCATTACTTGCAGAAACATGATCTGCATAGAAGTCATCAAAAAACCTTACCTATGACTTTATCACAAAAGTCAACATTTATGTAGGTACTGTGGCCTAGCGAAGTAAAAATAGAACTTTTTGGCCACAATCACCAGAAGTACGTTTAGAGGAAAAAAGGAGCAGCATTTGATGAAAAGAATGCCTTGACAGCTTAAGCATGGGTGTGGATCTGTTATGCATTGGGTTTCTGTAGCAGCCAGTGGCACAGAAAACATTGCACAGATAGATGGAAGAATGGATTCCACTAAATATTAGCTTCTAATTCTAGACACAAATATGACAAATCAAGAAATTGAAGCTGAAAAGATGCTGGCTTCTACAGCAGGACAATGATGCAAAACATTTCTTAGAAACCATCTCCAACTACTTCAAGAAATGCAAGCTAAAGCTTTTAGAATGGCCCTCACAGTCTCCTGACTTAAAGAGTATCGAAAATGTGTGGGTAGATCTGTGCATGCAAGACAAACCTAAGAATATCACAGAACTGGAAGTGGTCTGCAAGGAAGAGTGGGTAAAAATTCTCACAGAAAGGACAGAAACTCCTAGCTGTCTACAAAAAGCATTTGCAAGCTGTGATATTTACCAAAGACTGTGTTACTGGGGACTAAATTAGTAGGCTTTTCTTTTTATTTCAGGTAATCAAATAGAATATAACTGTGCATTAACATTTGCAGAAAATGCTATTTTTAAAATAGTTTGCTGCAGAAGTCTTTAAAAAATTAACAAAATGTCATTTCGCCCACAATGTCAAGTGCCGACATACAAAAGGGTGGGTCCTCCAAATGACCTTTTGTTCATCTTATTAAGTGAAAACTGCTTAGCATTTTAGGTGTAATAATGTTAATTTCTAAATCAGTTTCATATGAAGGCATTTTGGTGTGTGCTGTTTCAAAAAGCAGTGATCATCAACCCTCCTCCTGGAAATCTACCTTCCTGCACACTTTAGCTCCAACTTTAATTATTCCCCTTAAGCCTTCTAATTACTGCCTTCAGAGGTACTTGATTAGCTAAATGATGTTTGTCAGGTTTGAGTTGTAGTAAAAATCCACAGGAAAGTAGATCTTCAGGAGGAGGGTTGGGGACTATTGAAGTAAAGCAATAGTGAGTTATATGATTAATTTATCTTGTTAATGTAATACCTGGTGCATTTTTTAAATATTTTATTTCACAGCTATCTTTTTGTACTGTCTGTCTTTTAAAGAGAGCCTCATTTGATTGAAGCTCTTTTTTTTAATGCAGAGGTGTAGCTGAGTCTGAAACCCATTTCTAAGATACAGGCCTCCCAACTGAATGTGAAATGGTAGATTTGTACATTCAGATTTAGTGTGTTCTAAGTTCTCTGCAGACTTAAGTAGGTGGCATTTTAAAGTTATAGTTGAATGAAATGTACATAATATGTATGAAATGAAATGAAGTAGCTGTGCATGGCATTCAGGTGTACTGTACACAAGGGGTTACTACTGCTGTTTGTTTTAAGACTATACCATCTCAGCTCTTTCAGTTACATTCTTAGTGAAAGTGACAACTCTTCTCTCTGTTCATCAGATTCTGGAGTCCAAGGAGATCGAGACTCTGGTTGCTGAAATTGAGAAAGAGAAAGAGGAGGAAGCTGAGAAGAAGAAGCAGAAGAAATCCTCATAGGTTAAAGCACGCTCACACTAAGTCCTTTACGCCGTTCAGTTTTGTTTATATGGGCAGAAGCACTTGGCTCAGACCCAGGCCTCCTTTCCCCTCCCCTGTTAGTTAAGAGCACATCTCTATTTCCTATGAACCTCACTGGGAGTATTTCATCCAGTTCAACTTTAAATGCAATATTTATCACTGAATTTTTGACAAGCCCATTTTTTCAAATGTTCTTCCTCAAACGTTTCCTGTGTACGTAAAGCATGTTTTTGGTGGACTCTTCAGTGGAATTGGATATAATGCAGTGACTACAATATGGAAAGCATTCCCCCCTTTTTTCTTTACAGTGTAAAAACCTGGTTAGATGCACTGTTTGAGTCTCTACTGCAGTTGAGGATTTTGTGAGGATGTGCTCAAACTGACATGCGCAAATAAAGTATTGTGGTTTGTATTCTCTGGCTGGATACTTGTTGTCTAGAAAAAATATCTGCGAATTGGGAAACGTTACTTTCATGGCTTGCTTCCTTTGCCATGATTGTCACAGAAAAGACTTTGTAAAATGTGTGTATCTGTAAGCGAATAGAGAATAGGCCACTGATGATGTTAAAAGTTTCTGTCTTTGTATTCATGATTGCGCTGATGAATATTTATATGGGATAAATTGCCTTTGTCTTCCTCCATTTGACGTCTCGTCAGTGGGCCGGAAACCTAGAGCGCTCTCATTCCCTCTGCCTTTGATCTGTGCAGGGAACTGAAATGCACAGCCGACAAGAAACTCTCAAGCCAGGCTGAAGATACGATCAATAATTAATTAAATTTAAGCATTCTAGTCCAAAACAATTTTGACACCCCCTCATTGAGTAAAATTTTCATTGGGTGTTTATGCAGTAGTCAACATGAAGTGTGGGTGGGAGGGTTCTGGGACAAAGAGGGACATTTTTTTCGATGGGAATTTAAAAAAAAATTATTTAACATTTCTTAAAATTTCTTAGGATCTTTAAAGATGTACGTTTTGCTTATGTACCTGATTTTAATATACCATAGATTTATCATTTTGTCTAAACTATTTTGAGGTTTTCTGTTAAAAAGAGTGTTCATCACTTGCAAAAGTTTGATAGGGGTTTATATAAACACATGTTTTTTTCTCTTTTAGCTTTTTTCAGTTTTTGGTCCCATAGCTTGATATTTGCAGTGTAAGAGGAATCTGTTTCAACAGTTGATATTAAATTATTGTAGAGAAACTTACCCACAATCAGATTGGAATCAGGAGTCACAATGTGTACAACACAAACATAGCCATTTTATTAACTATCCAAAACCACCATTGACTCTACATGTATCACTGTTTATATATCGCTGTTGTCAGAAGAAAACCTTGTATTTCCAAAATGAAAACTTTACAGGAGAAGGAAAAAAGGTGCTTTATTTTTAATGTAAGTCAATGGAACCAGATTTTTTCTTTTAGTCCATTCATCTTAAATTTTACATACAATGTAGAGGGTAACAGGTATTTTCAAATTATGTCAAAAATGGAGATACAAGGTTTTCTTCCGACAAAAGCGATATAATGTTGATGACAGTAAAAGAGTGCAAAGTTTGGGGACTGTTTTGCATTACGACACCCTCCATGTACCTCTCTGCCATGAATGAGCAAAAACCTCTCAAAACCATCATCTCAGATATCAGACGGCACACTCATAACCTTGTCATGAAATAACTTTCTGTGAGAGATTTTTAATATGTTAAAACTCCTCAGACATCTGTTTCCTGTCACCACCACTATAAAAATTTCTAACTTGGTAGGTTTCTCTAGAACCAAGCATTCCACATCAAACCACTCTGAATAACTGTTTACATTCTAACGGTTTAAGCTGCACTATGTAAGATTTAGGGATTTGGAGACCCCTCTGACAGAAATGTGTAATTGCATGCAGTGTAGGGAAGAACATTTTATAACATGGGTTGTGCTTTGGACCCCTTCCCTGAGTGGATGAATATGATGTATGTGAATTATCTATTATTGAAAATGTAAATAATGTTGATTTTGCATTTGAAACCTAAACATCAAGCTGGACCTTCTGTTTGACACTGTGCATGTGGCGTCAGTATGTAAAGACTTGTTCCAAAAAAAGTCCTGAGTAGTCTGGCCCGTCACCTCTGACTTTACAGGGTGGCTTGCAGCAGCACACGCACACCATCATTTGTTATAACGTAATGCTAAGTCTTTCGATTTTAACCAAAAATTCTTCTATAGTGCAGATTTAAGTATGCAGAAATTCTAAAAATCAGTGGAATTCCCCTTTAAACAAAAAAAAAGCCTCAGTTGCCACAATACGTTAAAGTGATGTAACAAACAGAGCTTGTACACAACATGTCAATAATGGGACAAAGTACTGATTAACTGAATTACTTCATGCTGTTTGAATGATTAAAATGTGTTCATTAGTGAAGGAATGTGTTTAGAATGCACACGGGTTACTGCAGGGCAAAAGCTTTAAAGAAGTTATGGCTCAGCTGTGTGCCATTCTGTACTTTTCACCAACACACACACTGTAGGTGTAGCTGGGGCTGGAGGTGCTGCAGGCATTTACTGTACATAGCTTCCAGCAGCTCATTTCTGCTTATTCAGAGCTAATAGAATATTTTAGAATCCTGGGCCTCAGGCAAGGCACATTGAGAATTGAAGTTTCTGTAGCTGAGGCCAGGCAAACAGAACAGTATTTCTATGAAAAAGCCTTCAATGCAGAGAACTTGAACACAGTTACAGGAAAAAATATATAAACAGGTTCTGCAAAATGCAGTGTGGCTTAAAATTTTAATGCATATTATGATCATCTTCAATGAAGAAAAGGCTACACTAGAGATGGGACCAATCTGATATTCAGGATTGGTATCTAACCCCTGAAAAACAACCCCATAGTATTATCCCTCCTCTACCAAACTTTACAATTAGCACAATGCAGTCAGGCAGGTAATGTTCTTCTGGCATTCCAGACTCGTCCATCAGACTGCCAGATAGAGAAGCATGATTCTTCACTCCACAGAATACATGTCCACTGCTCCAGAGTCCAGTGGCGGCGTGCTTTACACCACTTCATCCGATGCTTGGTAATGTAAGGCTTGCATACAGCTGCTTGGTCATGGAAACCCATCTCATAAGGCTCAGTGGCAATGGGACTGAATGAAACACCTGAATTCAATGATTAAGAGGTGTATCCCGAGACTTTTGTCAATATGGTGTATAGAAAACATGGGACTCTTCATAACTGCAAGACCTGGGAAACCACCAAAACTGTCACCATTAGATAAACAGCACTCAAAGCTTTAATCTTTGAGTGATAGATGAAAAGCTCTGTTCTTGCTGCAGATCTGAAAAAAATTCACAGGTGTTTCTGTCCGTCCTTCCACAGTAAGACAGCTCAACACTGAGTCTGAAAGGATGTGTAGCTGTCAAGAAGCCATCAGAATATTAATAATTTAGTTTTAACAGCTGTTTTGACTGGAAGTTAAATAAATCAAGGGTGGAACTTCTGCACAGGACTGTATATCATCATGTAGGGTAGCAGAGTGAGCATTTTACTTTGGTACTCTTACATGGCCAGTAACGGTTTCAGACCCTGTTGAACAGCTGTGTTCTTAGAGGTGATTTGGTGCCTGGCCTCATGCTGCTTGATTTTTCTCCTCAGGTGGTTTGGTCTTGATGGTGGTTGCTTAACTCCCTCAGGCGATGTTGCCCTGTTTGCCCCCCTCTGGACCCTGTGGGTGCATACAGTTCTGATTGGTTAGCTCTAGCCCCTGAAGCAACATCCTGCTCCGATTGGTTGTTCCTGCCCCCCCAGGCTGTATCATGCCCTGATTGGTCAGCCTTTTTGCCTGCAGCACTGGCCTACTCTGATTGGGTGGTCCAAGCCCCTGAGGCAGTTTCTTGTTCTGGACGGTTACACTTGGTCCCTAAGGGGATGCGCTGCCCTTGGGGCTTATTCTAAAACCCCAGTCCCAACTCCTCACCTATTTAAGAAACGAAGTTATCATAAATAATGTCATTAAAGGACTTAATTAAAATAATATTAGCATGGTTGTATAACCAGGAAGAAGAAAAGGTTATTTTAGGAAATTAAGATAAATTGTTTTAATAAACTTTTGCAGATTCAACCAGAGTGCAGTTATTTTCCTCAAACAGGGCCCATTCCAGGCAAACTTTTCAATAGAAACACCATACGCATTTTGCGTTGCAGTGTTTTTTTAATGATGCCACATTGTTTTCCTTACAAATCCATTTAGCAAGGTAATGTAAATGTGACAAAGTGTCATTTCAGTAGTCAAAGAATATTTCTAAAGATCAAACTAAGGATTCTGAAATTGTGTCTTCACAACTAAAACAAGTAAAGGAAGAAAAAAAAAGTATTTCTCAGAATAATACACAACATAAATTGACCACTTTACATAACATATAATAGAACTGGTGGACGTGGTGTTTGTATGTGCTCCTATCCTCTATCGTAGGAAAGCGTTATAGAGTACAAGGGAGTGTCTAAGTGTCAGGTCCTGTTCCATGCAGAAGATCAAATCTCTGAAAGTCACACGTGTTGGAACCCTCTGTCCAGTTCTCTGTGCATATGAAGCCAGCACCTGAGATAGAGACGAAGAAAGGTGACACTACTGAACATAACCAGTACCAACCAAATGTCTTGCACTAAAGAAATGGTCTCTTCTGCACTTGCTGCTGGGTTATGCTGGTAGCTCTATAGAGAGAGATGCATATTCCACTGAAGATAAAGTAAAAACTCCCCAGGCAGAGAAGATTCAAGGCCATTTGGGTAATCTTGTTCAAAGGCTTATGGGTATTATCTGCAATGCAAACACACACACACACACACACACACACACACACACACTCACTCACACACTCACACACTCACTCTCTCTTTCCTTCGTTCATTAACATACCCCTTTGCCTGAGGGAAGCAGAATTAAACCACAAATTAAAAACGAATTAAACTGAACTAAATACACAATCCTTTACTATTTTGTTAAGTCACTCCTTCATTACAACTTTCTTTCCCTGGAAAAGAGATACTGGTATTATGTAGATAAACAATCTACTTCCCCACCTGCAGATATATATAGAAGTCAGAGACCACACTTATTTTATTTCCAGTCAAATAGGCCATGAAATACAATGTATTCAATTTTTAAGAGATATCTCTGAGAAGATTAGATATAAAGGAATCCACTTGCATAACAAAGGGGAAAGTCTTCAGATTTCTTTAAATAAAACTGAAAGCGAGTCTCCAAAAAAGAATGGGGTGGACACACTACATAAAAATTAGACATGGCATTTACTTGTTGAGGCTTCTGTGTAATGTTTTGTTAAATATGCATTTTTGGCTGGAAATTAAATAAATGAAGGGTAGTCTGAGTCCATAGGCATTGTGGGTAAATGACAGCTTCAAACAAGTATGTTAAGACTACAGAACCCATTATTCCCTTTATACATTGCAGTACAATATTTTGTGGATACATGGACATTTTATATTAGATAAGAGAGACACTCAACCCCTGTGAAACACACACGCACACACTGTAACTGTAGATAGCTGAAGTTACTGACTAGCTACCGCAGGCACACAAACCATGCGCTGAAAGCAATCTCGCTATTCTAATGAATGATGCTTACATGGTTTGTAAATAACTGTGCTGGTCTTTAGATGCAATGAAAGATCTGAACATTTCCAGTCATACTCAACAATCTAAACATCCTCTCCACTCCACTCTCTTTCCCTCTTACAAACACACTTTTCGCAGAGAGGTGGTTGTGTAAACACATCAGTACCTGGTTAGCCCCAGGGCCAGAAGCCTCCAGAGGTTTCCTCTTACGGGGCCCCAGAGCTGCTAGTGCTGCCAAGTTAGCTTCTCTGTGCTGCATCTGAGCCAGCTCCAGCTGCTGCATCTGAGCAAGAGAAACAGATAGAGAGAGATGTTTGAGAAGCACTAAGAAAACAACCGTCTATTTATAACAAACAGAATACAGAAGGTTAAATAAAGTGCAGTCCATAAGTACAAAGCGATACACTGGATCTAAAACTAAGACTACTGAGCTGAGAGCAGAATTTAGGGTATACAGAAATTTAATCCATGCTGACTGAACCATACAGAAATCACAGCCCTTTTTATATGTGGTCTACTCATCAGGACAAAAAGTAACTGGATAAATGAACAAATCTGAATAAAATTGTCATTAATTATCAGTAATAGCAGTTGACCCACAACCTACACTGCCTTTTTTGGGACCATGCTTTGGCCCATATTTTTGGGGGGGATGTTTCACTTTTTGGCCCAAAAAGCATTCACAGTTGCTTTAGTAGTATGTTTTAGGTCCTTTCCTGCTGCAAGATGAGGCACTGGCCACAGTTTTTAGGCATACGGTTGAATATGAATGGTTTAGATCAGGGGTGCTGAATCTTGGTCCTGGAGATCTACCACTTTGTACTTGGCACACCTGGCTTTATTATTCGGATGCCCCTGAAGGCCTTATTTATCTGGTTCAGATATGATAGATTAGGGTTGGAGCTCCAGGACCAGGATTGGGCACCCCTGTTTTGATGCTTTTGAACACTTTGGAATTTATTCTGTTGGTACGAGCATCAATAAAGATGAGTAAGTTCTACTGACAGGCCCACATCCCCAAGCCATGACACAACCTCCATGTGTCAGACATGAGGTGCTATGCTTTAGAGCAGTGGTTCCTGATGCAGTCCTCAGGAACCCCAGACTGTCCACATTTTTGCTCCAACCCAGCTTGAAACACATAAGGATGAAATAAAAATGTGGACCCCTATCTTTTCTTTGATCTATGTGTTGAAAGTATGTGTAAATGTCCCATCTAGAATCAAACATGGATCTTTTGTTAAGTCTTTTTGTGCATTCCATGCAATCACACTCTTGGCCAAAAGACAACAGAGCAGCAAATTGTCCAAGACATTCATTTTTCTAAAACAGGAATACAAAAACAGATGTGATTCTTATATTACAGTTCCAAAAAAGCTGTCAGTCTTCACTTTAACCTCATTAACACTATTTATTTCAATCCCTATGTGCTGAAGTACAAAGCTAAAATAACATAAAAAAAATCATAGCCAAAAAAAGCTGCACTTTTGTATAGCTTTTCATTGGCAGTAGCTCAAATTTAAGAATCATGAAACCCTTGAAACATTGTGACTTTGCGTTTTGTCCTCCATGAGCAGAGCAAACCAAATCTCATCCATACTGGTCCACACACACACACACACACAGAGGTCTAGGGGCCTTTCATTACATTCTGCTCCCTGTACTGCCTCAGGCCTCAATTTCTGCTCCAATTAAACTCAATTAAAATTAGCCCCCAATAAGAAAAAAAACTTGTCTCTAGGGTCTGTGGTGTGTGTGTGTGTGTGTGGCACACATATGGTTAGACATGTTACAACTGTCCTAGGGGAACCCAACAGCTCAAACACAGGTAGAAAAGGAACATTAACACAGAGAGAGAGAGAGAGATACAAATCTAACTGACCTCTTTTGCTCTCTGTTTGAGTCTAAGCTGCTCAGGGTCTTCACTACTGGAGCGAGTCTAAAGGCAAAAGAGAAAGACGACACAAAGGATGACTAGTTTGCTCGCTTTTTCATCTCTCACACAAACATTTGTCACCTTAGCGATGCGCAGAAGTGTCTCTCTCTCCTCTTCTTCTCTCCTTCGCTTCTCCACTTTCTCCAGCTGCTCCAGAAACTTCAGCTGAGAGCGTGTGTCGTTGGTCTGAATGTGTCGCCAGTCATTCTAACCACAAAAAAGCATGCAGCAGTGAGCCCAATAATTAGCATTTTTTAGGGGCTACAAACACTTTATCTTGTGTCCTTTGTACAGCCATGGTTTAAACTAGAAGAACAAACCAAATTAAAGATTTAGTGTATCATGATGATGTGATTCAGAGAAAGGCTGGCGGTGTTCGATGTTTTTGAATGTATGAAACTGACCAAGATTACTGTATGCGGTGCTGTGGCTTGTGTATGTTGGCATGTACCCTATATGAGATACTGCGATGTTGTGCTATGGCAGTGAGCTTCTCCAGCAGACCTCGGAGTCTCTCCTGTGTGGCATGAGAAAGTAACCCAAGCACATCTGGGCTCGCCTCTATGACACCCAGGGAACTACCTATACAAAAATACAGGATTAGTTTGTTATATATATATATATATATATATATATATATATATATATATATATATATATATATATAGATAGGCTTTTTTGACATGGAGTGTTAAAATCATGATAGTGAGTTTTTTTTGTTAAACTGCACAAAAATGGCTTTCTACTGGCACAAAAACAGACAGCAACTCTGCTTTTAGCAATGCAAATAAGCAAAATTCTCTATGCAATCATTTCCATATGATAAAATCTGATCAAGAACAAAATGCATCATCTTATAGTGAAGAGAGATGGGTAACTGAAACTATATGGCAAGAATACTGACTGTCAAGCTAACAGGTAAATCTAATATATATATATATATATATATATATATATATATATATGTATATATATATATACACATATACACACAATTCTACATACATCACTACTTCAAATGTGTCGAATTGAAATCAGGTGTACCCTTTAGTTGCTAATAATTAAAACGCTGTTTGAAAACATCTTAGAGGAACTGGTCTGGTTTGCTCTTTGTTTTTGGGGTGTGTGGTATGATCATGCCTATATCAAAAGAGCTCTCTGAGGCCTCCAGGGGAGGGGTTTAAGAAGATTTCCAAAATACTGGAAATCAATCATTCCACTGTCCAGAAGATCATCTACAAGTATAGAAGATTTAAAACCACTTTCGACTTGTCCAAGCCAGACTGCCCCAGAAAATTTAACCCAAAAGCAGACTGTAAGGTGCTAAACGAAGTCTCTAAGAACCCTAAAACCTCATTACTTAATCTGCAGGTTTCTCTTGCCACTGTTGATGTCAAAGAACATGCATCTACCATCAGGAGGAGACTGAACAAACTTGACCTTCATGGGACGTGTGGCAGGAGGAAGCCTTTGCTGTCTAAAGAACATTAGTTCAAGATTGAAGTTTGCAAAAAAATCTCTAATCAAGGACCAAGACTTCTGAAACAATGTGCTATGGACAGACGAGTCAATGATAGAGTTGTTTGGCCGCAACACCGTGTTTGGCAAAAACCAAAGACGGCAGACCAACTGTAAAGCATGATGGTGGAAATGTTATGGTTTTGCTGGTTTAGGGCCTGGCCAACTTGCAATCATAGAATTGACCGTGAATTCTCTTTAATACCAGAGTGCTTGGGGAGACTGTGAGGCCATCTGTCAAGAAGTTGGCACTGTACAAATGATCCCAAACATACAAGAGGGGATTGGAGGCTGTATATACAAGAAACCCCTCAAACATTGTTTAGTTGAAAGAGTTCTGCATGAAGGAATGGGCAAAAAAATCCTCCCAGTAGATTTCAAATTGATAGTCAGTTACAGGAAATGCCTCCATAAAGTTTTTTCTGCCAAAGGGGCATTTCCAGTTACTTATACCAGGGGTTTACTTACTGTTTCAATAGAAAAGCACATCTTAGTTTTTTTTTTTTTAAATACTTTTTTAATTACTTTGAAATTAAATTTACATTATGTAACATTTATCTATACATACAGTTTAACTGAGGATCGAATATTGACATGTCCACGTCAAAAAAAGAAACATTACATAGGATGTACTTACTTCACATGACTGCATAAGAATATCCAAATGACTATCCAAGTTTTACCTTATAACTCCATTTCAGCAAAAAAGGAAATAAGAAATGAGAGAAACCTAGTCATTTATCTCTTACTGTTTTTCTACACTGATATTTGCATGTGTTTGCTGTGCTCATTTTTTCCACAGGGCCAGACGTTAAGTGTTGCTGTTGCTTTTTGTTATGCTTGCTGAGTAGACAGACATCTGCAAACACTCTGTGATCATCTCGTTTGGCCTTTTCTGCTGATGCAGGCTGAGTTCCTGCGAGGCCAAGCCTGTCTCTTTCATTTCCACATTCTCTCGTTCTGTCTCCTCCGCCTCCTCCTCCTCACGGCTCCTCTACCTCCCGGCTACCTCGCTCCGCCCCCCCCCTCCATCTTTCGCACTTTCTCTCCCTTGTTCTGATGCTTATTTTGATCAGCACAGCAGAGTGGATTCCTGCCACTCTGGCAACTTTGCGCCGCTCCACAGTCATTAGCATACTGATTAAGCAGAACAGCCTCGTCAGAGATACTGCTGATCAAAGAGAGAGCCTCTCCCCTCTGTCTCTCAGAACAGCTCCTCAAAATGTGCCAAAAATGATGGGAGGGAGAAGAGAGAGGAGAGAGAGAGAGGTGGGGAAGAAGGATACCTAGAGGAAATCAATGAAGGGGGGCAAGACTCAATAAGGAATAAAGTTCACGTATATGACAGAAAGGAAGCAAATTTCAGTAAGCAGCTGTTCAGTCGTCCTCATGGTGGTCTTGTGTGCATTTATTTGAGTATGACTAAATGTGATGGCACAGTTACCAATATGTTGCACCCTCTGTTGCAGTGCTGGTGTCTGTAGGAAGGGCTCATCCCTGCACGAGTGGACCACCGAGCCCACCAGCTCTGCACTGGAGGCAAGAATGCGAGCATTTTCCTCATTCACGTTCACCCCTGCCATGGAGGCCACGTCGTTAATGTCGTCATCGTCCCTAATCAACAAAAAACAAGAATGCAAATACAAAAACAGAATTAAAAAGACTATTCAAATATTTGTAAATAAACTGCATTTATGAAGAGCCAATTAGAGGTGGGCTTATACTCAGGGATGTTGTGGTAAAACGAATTGGGAGGAATCGAGAGAGCATTTTCTCTCCTACAAAAACCAAATTGTCACACATTCCGATGCCACGTTTTCATTTTTTGCATGTGTATACTTTCAAGTTGTACAACTTCTACTAACACTGAAAGCAGCGCAGTGCTGTGCGCACAGTGAAATGTTTCTGTGATGCTCTGAATTTGTGGATAAAAAAAACGCCACAGCTGTGTTTAGTGCATCTTTCCAGTGGCATGATACTTGTGACAAGAAAGAAGAATTTGCGCAGCATATGGCTGGTATTAAAGAACACACTCATCTGTGGGTTTGACACTGTTTCTTTAGTGGAGGTTGTGAAATGTATAGTGCAAGCCTATATATAAGTTATATGGTCCTCTGGGCTTTTTTCACATTTTGTGAATGGAACTTGGAAGTAGAAGAGGGAGGAGATGGGATAAATGTATAAACAGAACGGATCTGTCTGCAGCCATGTTCAGTGAAAAAGAGGTACGTCAATGTAGATTTTATTTTCATTTGTTTAATTTTTGTGAGGGGGTTTAACCCAATTTTTCTCCCCAAATTAGTCATGGCTAAATTCCAACCGCTAGCTAGTTCTCTCCCGATCACATGATGCTACCAAGCTGGGAGAGTGAAGGCTAGCATGTGCTTCCTCTGAGTCATGTGAAGCACCACTGCATCTTTTCGAACTGCAACATCACTGCACAGCTCAACACGTTTAGAAGAGAACACCAACTGTCAATTCTGTTACATCAGCTGATAGACACCCACACTGGCTGGCATCACACAAAGTTAAGGGGGAGAGTGAGGGCCATCTTACCCACCCAGAAAGAGTGAGGTTAATTATGCTCCCTTGAACTTCCAGCCATGGACGGCTCTGGAGTCACCAGGGGTCAAACTCATGACTTTTACAGAAATCCCAATAAGTGAGTAAACTCTAAACATAATTGAGTAAACTATAAAATGGTGGGTAAATAATTTAAAAAGTGAGTAAATGTCATTTACCCTCCAGTACACTGCTGCTTATACTCATCTTGACCTAAACAGACACACATGCAAGTGTATGCACATCCTCAGTGGAGCAGAGGATAGCAGTGTGTCAGAGTCATTACCGGAAAGAGCCTGAGGTGCTGTCCTTGAAGCTGTGCATGCGCATTGCTGGAGGTGGCACAGTAGAGGGGGCTTTAGATCCCTGAAGCGAGTACTGCATCCCCAAAGCCCCTGTGAGGAACACACATAAACACTGCAGTAGAGAGGTCAGTGTGTACTTTTAGTTCCTTGCAATAAAATCCAAGAGACTGAACAACTTGGTCTGTGAATAGGCTAGCACTGAATACATCTGAACATATGACTGCACATGTTATGGGTGAAAATAAATGTAGAGAACTTTTACCTCCAGGTTGAGTATTAGTCTGAATGATCAACTGCTTAGGCTTCTGCACAGGCGCATCACCACAGGACGAGGTTGTCACAGGGTGTCTGACAGTCACTCCTTTCGACTGCTGGATCACCTAACCAAGTAGAAATACTTAAACATATAAGTTGTAATACCAATTACAGCATGCCCAGAAAATATAGAATGAGACAGCTGAAGAGGATATCATAGACAGTCATACTTCATTACAAATTCAGGAGCCTGGAGGGAAAGGCTTGATGCGTATGTCGACTCTGAAGCAGCCTAAAACTTTTGAGTGATTCTCAGGTATAAGAAAAATGAGCTGCGACATTCCTGCAGAGATTCTTCAATACATTCAAATGCAACAAACACAATTTGGATATTAGATTATGAGAAAACAAATGACATTATGTAAAAATGACACATGAAGTGTGCGAGAAAAAGGAAGCTGATGGGATACTGGTGCGCTTTAAGTGAATTAGAGTGAAGCATGGGTGGCAGGGACTTAACCAGACAATGAAGACAAATTGAAGAAAAAATGTCATAAAAATGAGTCATACTTCAGGAAGGGGGCTTTCGTTCTATTTTTTCCCCCACACACAGTGAGAAAAACCTCACTGGCGTATCTAGCTGGTGCACATCTATACTCACAAGGCATTAAAGCCCCAAATATGTAGTAATCTCTAATGTTTTATTTAGTTTTGATTTCTGGATACTTATTGTACCACCATACGCCCCTAAAAAGGGGTTCCTGAAGGGTTTTTTAATAAAGGCAATGGTTAGATATGGGCCCATGCCAACTCAAAGATCTGCTGAATGCATAAATGTTTCTATGCACACTTAAATAGTTCCTCTCTATAACGAAGACACTGTTGTATATTGTTCTTTAAAGAACCTTTTAAAATGGTGTAATATAGCACCAAACAGGGTTCCACAAGTCAAAAAAACTTTTCTTGGTACTATATAGAACACTTTTTTGCTGAGAGTATACTAGAAATCAACCTTGTCATCTTGGGGGCAAGGGAGCATGTCTCAAATACAATAAAAATATTTTTGTAGATGAGGTGTTTGAGTTTAAAGAACCCTGTTAAAGTTTGAAGAACCTCCACATGATGTAAAGGTTCTCCTTAAAAAGGTAAAAGGGATAAACATTTGGAGGAGCCATGAGTGGGCAGCAGTGGAAAGTGACAATATATAACATTTAGACATAGACACTGAACCAGACACTTGCTGGACTCAAGAATACCTCTGAATTAACAGGTTATAGGCACAAAACATTCTAACATGGGATTTGATTGGAAAACAGTACACCTTATACGTCTGAACTCTGACGTAACCTGGGCTTACCAATTGAGAGGGTCTCACTGGCAGACTTCCTCTGAGAGGCTGAGAGCTGTTAGAGGAAGTCACATTATGTTTCTGGCTAGTGTTGCCGAGTCCTGAAGAAGAAGACAGGGGTTTAGGCTGGTCACACTGCTGAATGAAGAGCTGCGAGTTGGGCGTGAGCTGACGCACAGCAGGTAGACTCCTCTGGAGAACACAAGAAGCTCACAGCCTAAATGCTGTATTCTCTATGCAATTTTAACCTCAGTATCATACTTATTTTAATGTCAATGTCAAGCAAACAAGTCTTACCTTAAGAAAAGGCACCAGGTATGGCTGAGGGGACGATTTAAGCTCCATGTAGAGTTTTTCTGTAAACTCTTCTGCCTCTAGTTGCCCATCCTTAAAAGAATAAAGAAAACAGGGAATATACATTTCTGTTAAGCATGTTCAACTGTACTTTTAGTTTATTTAAACTGTAATGTTTTATCTTCCCATTGATTTGCCTCCTCTGCAAAATTGTTGACATTGTATGACTAAAATAAAAAAAAAAAACTACATGAATCGAAATAAATTATTATTAATAAAACTGCTGCATAATGTACGTGTTTTACAGAAGGAACATGATCATGTGAACATGATGTAACGTCACACCAGGAGGTCCTTGACAAGAGCTCGAACGTTCTGTGCCATGTTGGCTGAGCGGGTACCACTGGATGCCAGCTTCATCAGAGTGACCAGGAAGTTCTTGCATTTCTTAACATTCTCGAGTGTCTCCTGCAGTGAATGCAAAACATTATTTTTTGAATAAAAACATTTAAACAAATTAAGCAACTATTTATGCATGAGCAGTAGTATAATGTGTCTCTCCATAGAGGTCATCACTCACAGCTGTGACAGGGATGGGGGCGCAGGATTTGGTGGTGCTGTGTCTAGTAGGAATATTCGGAGAGATATTTCGAGGGGCACTGCCACCTGGCCGAATGATTTGAGTCACTGATGGGGAAAGAGATGCCTTGCCAATAGACTACGAAGAAAAATAAAAAAACAAAGATTTGAAACCAGTATTTAAGCTTCTCATAAATCAGTGGTTATTGTGATCTGTGCAGACCCAATCCTACCTTCACCACTGATGTACTGATAACAGTGGTTCCACTCATGGTGCTCTGATTTATGCTCCCCGAAGAGGTGTTGCTTGGAAGCTTTTGGGAAGCAGTGGCTTTAATGACGGTGGTCCCTGTGGTGGAGCTTGGCTTAAGACCAGTAGTGCCTAAGACAGTGGTTGGTTTAATGATTGTGCTCCCTGGCATGGACGTGGCTTTGATTATGGTAGTCCCTGGGGTGGAGGTGGGTTTCAGAACAGCTGTTCCTGTACTGGGGGCTGGATTTATTATGGTGGCTACATTTGCAGGTGATGGTGGGATAGAGACTCTAATGATCGATGTGGCTGTCGCAGTTGCCTATGAATAAGAGGAGGTGTTCTCACATGACTTCAGAATTCAGCATATCTAACGAAGAGTATGTTTCTGAGTGATGCCACTTATTCTCATTAACTTTTAAGGAGCTTTATCTTAAGAAGTGGTAGTGACTGTATGTTCACAATGAAAATTAACAAAAAATTACCATACACCCACAGATATCTCTTTTTTAGGATATGTTTTCTTGAATATTAAATGATTAAATGATTAAGTGACCCTTATAAGGATGTTAAAAAGTTTTTTTAATGAATGTTAGATCAGTTAAACAAAGTAATGATCTATTAGTCTTTAATTCTGGAAAAATTAATAATACTTCTGATGCACTGTATATACTCACACACACCTGGGAGGATTGTGGTCTTACAGTTGTTGTGACACCAGGCTGTCTGGGCACTAATCCCTGAGCCTGCACTTGAGCCAAAGCCTGCTGGGAAACCAACATCAACTGCCCACTGTCACTGCGAATTAAAACCATACCTAGACAAAGCCATATTTGGACATTTGAAAAAGGGCAAGACAAAACATTTGGAAAACAAACGAGAGGCTTCTAGGATGAACAGATTAGAGACAGACAATACAGTTTGCATGTGTGAAATAGCAAGACCAGAAACCTTGTGGGATGTGGAAGTTGGCAGGCAGTTGGATAGAGGTGGTCTGAGGGCCGCGTGCCACTGGTACAGTCTGCTGTGGAGTAGATGTCCTTGGAAATGCCATTATTGCCCCTTGGACTGGAGCTGGAGTCATAGCTGGGCCTCCGGTCTGGTTTGGGGTCCCTCCAGGATGTGCAGCCAGTGCCCCCAACCCCTGCAAACTGGTCACGGCTGGTGCGGTAGCCGATGGCAAGACTCTTGCCCCCACCACCAGTGGCGCGCTGGATCTGACAGCTGCAGTGCTCACTATGATCTTTGGAGCAGAAGGCAGAGAGGAAGAGGACACAGTGGAGCTCACAGGTGCCACGGCTACAGCTGACTTTGAGAGCATACTGGAGGGCATGGAGAGTAAATCGGCTTTGGCAGGTTCCTTTTTAAGTGCCTCGCGCGGCTCTGATGATGGATTTTTGTTTTCACCTGGAAGTGCTGACGCTTTGGTTGAAGTATGAGACGCGTTAGTCACGTTGGCTGTGCACTCTGACCCTACACTGCGTTCACCTGATACTTGAGATGTTTGTGGCTTTGCTGCTTTCGCTCCAGCCGCGGCGGCTTCGTTACTGGACACTTCAGACTCATCCTGTACTATACTAAAATTATTTGCAGTTTCGTTTTTAGACATGGTAGAACTTTATGCTGTGCTCAGAACATAAGCTGTATGGTCTAGCAATCCGCTACATGCTGCCAGTGTCACACATATACGGGAACAGACGTCTCGTGCAGTTTAAGATGACTAACGTTACCTGTGCATTGACTCTTATCGACTCAGACATGACGTTTCAAACAGACACCCACCTCTTCATTGTCAGCTGTTATCAAAACCACGCCGCTTGCACAACAGGTGCAAAATAAGTTCCCACCTGCTGACTGTTATACAGCTCAAACTCAAACAAGGTTTTCACATTAAGTCCAATAACGCGTTGCTTCCTTTCACCTAGCTGTATTTTTTATCTGTTAATACGGGTATAAATGTAACAGCCTAATGATGTTATATATTGAGTTCTTTTCAGTTTCTTAGTTGCTTAGGTCAAATTTCCATCTGAACGGGACAGAGCCTGCTTACATTCATGGCTAGTACTTTTTTTTGCTTGGAAGCTATTTTACCTTTTCTTGAACAGGTCTGCTGTTTGGTTTAAACAGTTAAAATTAAACGGTTTCTCTCCTGAAGTTACCGTCTCTTCGCTTTAGCTGCTTCAGATAAAGGACAGCTCACAAATCCAGGGCGTTTGGAGTATATAGGGCGCTAAATACTAAACACAACATTTGTTTATCTGTGAATTTCAGGAGAAAGTCGAAAAAATGAAGGCCAGGTTATGAATCATATTTACAACAGTTTCAAACTGTCGCTGTCTCGGCCAATCGAATGGCCGTTGCTAGGCAAAATTAACACGTTCACTTAAAACGATTGGCCACATTTTCTCCAATCAAAAGCTTCTGACGCCATGTTCGTAATCATAGCAGTTGAGGTGCCAATTTAAAATCCATTTGAAACGACTCTTTTTGAATAGTTAGAAGTTAAGCTGACAAAATTAATTTATAGAGCAGAGATCAGTTTTGGTAAGTATCCCCAAAGGTGTTTTAGAATTATATCCTATGTATTTTTTTCATGGCCTCATTTCACTTGTAGCCTTTTGGCTTCATATCCGTCTGGTGTATCCGCTTTAATGTACTTCATTTCTAGATGTTGTGTGATGTGACGTTTGAGCTCTTTAGCAGTAGGTTTTTGTGTTGATGGATATATATACCGACCAGCCACTTCTTTAATCTCCTTATTTACACTCATTGGCCATTTTATCAGCTCCACTTACCTAATAGGAGCACGTTGTAGTTCTACATAATTACAGACTGTAGTCCATCTGTTTCTCTGCATACTTTGTTAGTCCCCTTTTACCCTTTCCTTCAATGGTCAGGACCCCCACATGACCATCACAGAGCAGGTATTGGTATTATTTGGATGGTGGATCATTGTCAGCACTGCAGGTGGTGGTGGCAGTGTGTTAGTGTGTGTTGTGCTGGTACGAGTGGATCAAACACAGCAGTGCTGCTGGAGTTTTTAAACACTTTATCCACTCACTGTCCACTCTATTAGACACTCCTACCTTGTTGGTTCATCTTGTAGATGTAAAGTCAGAGACAGCAGCTCATCTGTTGCTGCACAGTTTGTGTTAATCATCCTCTAGTCCTTCATCAGTGGTCACAGGATGCTTCCCACAGGATGCTGTTGGTTGGATATTTTTGGTTGGTGGCCTATTCTCATTCCAGCTGTGACAGTGAAGTGTTTAAAACCTACATGAGCATTGCTGTGCCTGATCCACTTGTACCAGTGCAACACTTACTGTCAGTGTCAGTGTCACTGCAGTGCTGAGAATGATCCACCACTTAAATAAGACCTGCTCTGTGGTGGCCCTGATCATTAAATAACAGGGTAAAAGGGGGCTAAAAAGTATGCAGAGAAACAGATGGACTACTATATCTCATGTGTTATTTTGCTAGACTTTCAGTCCCTTTTTTGGAGATTTCATGTATTCAGTGGTGATAAGTGCTGTGCTGATTGTGATTTTGAACAGACTGGTTGTGATTGTGTTCAGCTGGTGTTGCTGCGCTGTTTATCTGTATTTGGATGTAGGCTACTTGATGCTGATAACACATGCTGCCCAGCTTTTTTGCCACATTCTCAGTGTGTTTTCCATTCTGCTTTGAATGCATAACATTCACAAAACAGTTTGCATTTTGATAAGCAAAGCACCTCCTGGCTTGTAACTTATACTCACTCATGTTAAGCAGACTCAAGATTATCCACAGACAATGAACAGTGTTAACTTGTTAAACCTATACATGAAGAGTAGCTGTATGATGATGTTTTATGTGATTCTTTGTAGGAGTTGGGAACTTGGAGACCTCTATGATGGAAATTTGTAATTGCACGCAACATGAAGAACGTTTTGTAACGTCGATTGTGCTTCGGACCCCCACAAGTGGATGAGTCTGAGTTGAAAGAGTATTGGAAGAGAGCTTAAGCAAAAGTTGGTCAAGGACGTGTCTTCGGGGATGTGAGTGAATTATCTACTATTGGCATCATATCTTCATCAGTATAATGTTGATTTTGCATTTAAGACCTAAACATCAAGTCAGACCTTTTTGATCCTGTGCATGTGACGTTAACACGTAAAGACATATTGCGTGGTCTGAAAAAATGCCATCCCGGTACCTTTTAAATGATTATTTCAGGTTTTACAGGGTCTCTCACAGTGGCGCACACACACCATATTTTAGTGTGTTCTTTTTTTCTCCATACATAGTAACGGTACTTCTTTTAGTTTAAAATAAATACATAGTGCTCCTTTAATGATGTCACTACATCATTACATTACTCTGCAGAAAAGATTCTCAGTAGATTCTTAGGAAATGAGAGTATCCAGACGTAGTTTCCAGCTTTATTTTTAAGACCAACATGTATAAAAATCCTGATTATGCCCTTGTTTTTTAACTCCATAATAGAAATATAACCTGGGCTTATTTTATAATCATCTCCATTTCAGTGACAGTATTCATCATATTCAAATCCAGAATGTAAATGACTTCTAGTTCTCATCTGAGGATGACGAAGGGCTGTGAAAGCTAACGTTTTAGTTTTTCATTCAGTTGAGCTAGAATACCATTCAGGTTAAAAAAAAATGTCATATTGTTCATACAGATTGTTGTACAGTCCATACAATCGATTTTGATTTACATTTAATGTATGAGGGGAAAATAAGACAAAAACACCTGTGTTTTTCTTAATCTGTTTCATTTAGTGTGAGCAGATCTCCCACTGAGAGAGAGAGTGACCTAGCATGACGGAAAGGCTAGGAGTGAAAGAGACAATATGAAGCTGAATAATCATTTAACTAGAAATACTATCCATCATACTCGTTAAACGTGTCTCTTTCTCTCCTATCCTCACGTTTCTGAATTGTTAGTATCATGTTTATGCTTCCCATCATTACAACAGATAAATGTCTGCTGGTCCATGATTGTGTACAGGATACAGGGCCCTTGATTGGATCACTTTTTTTTTCTATTGATTTCACCAATAAAGATGAGCCCAAGTCAAAAAGTTTTAAAACAAACCTTTGCCTTGTTGTAGTAAACTGATGAATGAAGGGCTGTGTTAATAAGTATATGGCCATCCAAAATACCAGAAAAAAAAAAAAAACTTATCTAACATCCTTTCACTTTTAAATTTGAAATGTTGCTTGTTGAGTATTGTATATACCCATTGTATATACTTGAAGGGCTGAAGCAGGAACATCTTGTTGTCTTGCTTATCCTGTTAAAAAGTTGTTCCTTTTTCTGCATCATGTTGGCCTCTAGTCCAGTGGCTCCTGTTTTATTCGGATCACAGAGGTTGTGACTCCACGCTGACCTCGCTTGACCTCCCTCCGCAGAACGTATTCACTGAACTGAGACGAGTCCACACCACCTCCACACGAGCCTGCAATCTCGAAGCCCCTCTGCTGGAGCCGCTCCAGTACCTGACACACACATGCGTGCACACACACGGTTAATCTGGTTTTGACAGGAATCTTCTAAAAATTTCTAAAAGTAAAGAGCTCTATATAGCAGAGAATAAATAGCCTTATATAGCAAAATAAAGAGCTCTATATAAACAGCTCTGTATCGCAGAGAAAGGAGATCTCTCATGTAATGTTTCCAATGGGGGAAAAAAATAAAATACATTTACAATTTTTTTTTATCGCTAGGTTACGGGGAATTCAGGGAAGCCAAAAGTATGAAATTAGAGATGGAAACGTCAACAATTTTTAAATCCATAAATCAAAACTTAAGCAGCAGCAGGTTTTTTACAGGATCTGATGTCATCACATAAAGCATTTTAATTGCTTAAAGTCAGTTTAAAGGAAACAAGCGGATAGGTAGCCAAAATCACAAACATTTTTTACTGCCCAGCATTTTCATTTTATCACTTGCAGTTTGTGCAAAAAATTGAAAAAAAAATAGCTGGTGATATCTTAGAATTACACAACCATTCAGCTGTGAATAAAAGACGCACTGCATGCACAGTGGAAGTAATAAAATGTGTCTGAGCAGATTGTACTGACCCAATAAATTCAAAACCCTTTTTCTCATATGAACACACACATACACGTTCATTTCTCAGTCCTCCAGATATTCGCTCCACAGGGCTGTGAGATCGTATTCCATTAGAGCGCCCCCAGGGTCCCTCTGTTCCCTCACCCCCCTTTCCCTTTTTCTCCAGCTCTCTCTCTCTGTATCTTCCTCCTTCCTTACAACTCTATATGCTTCTCTATGACTGTCCCTTTTCCTCCTTGTCTTTTCTGTCTCTGCTCATTTTTGTCCGTTTATCTTATAACCTCTTGTCTTTCTGTTCTTCTCTCTTTTTCTTCCTGTCCTCTTCCCTTCCTCCGTATTCCATTAGTGTGACCGCAGGTGCCAGGGGCCAAAAGATTTAATAACCGAATGGGATTAGACACCCTCCGCAAAGACACACACACTGTAGCTGTACACAGTAAATGCTCTTTATCTAGCAAACCAAGTGAAATTAAATGAAACTAAAACAAAAATTAAATAAAAAATTGACCAAAATGAAATAAAATTATAGTGACAATAAACTAATTTCAATTCATGAAGAATTGACTAAACCATAAAGGCTTTGGGCAATGACCTAAGTAATGCCTGCAAACTAGCCAAGGCCTGATGCTGCTTTTAGTTGCGCCATAACCTACTGTTATGTGAAATTGTGAAACTAATTAGGACAAAACACTCAAGTCCAGTTAGGGATTACTCTGAGTTTGACCTCATTTCTGACGAGCGTCTTGTCAATGCCACCGTTCGTGGAGCAATACTGAAAGGTACATGAAACTATATGAAAGCTAAACTAAAAGTAAGCCTGTCGCTTCCATGCCAACAAAATTTATTACGGAGTCATAAAATAACTGAAACCACATGGAAATTAAAAACTAATTTACAAAGAAAATGAAAATTTCAAAACTGTAATAGCCCTGTGGCAAACACTCACATTGCACTTGTATTGAGTAAGCCTGGTTTCTGTGTACTTGTATTTGCCAGTTGCTGAGAGCCTGTTTAGAGAGTCACTCTTGGTAAATGTATCTGCTAAATGCTGTAGTAATAAGCAGTTACATGTACTCAAGTAAAATTTTGATGGGTGTGATTATTTTCAAATGATGATATGTATCCTACTCATGTTTGTGAGGAAAGGAATCTGTCTTTTAGTCTGTTAGTCAACAACATTTAGTTACTAATTTTATTATGTTTAATGCTATGATTGAAATTGACAGCATCTGTATTGCTTGGCAACTGGTCACAGTTCTGACTTTTGAGGTACATTGTTTTATTTTACACCAAAAGTGCATCAAATAGAGAAGAATAGTGCCAACAAACTTCCTATTCCTAAATTAAGTTCCTGTGCTGAATGTGCTATAAACGTCTGCTGCCGTTCTGCAAGTTACTCCATCTTTAAAGTTGCATTAGTCAAAATTGTAGATACTCAACCTCTTGAGGTTAAATAGGTGAACTACAACTATACTGGAACTTTTTTTTTATTTTTACTCTTTCGTTACGCCTCATATTCCCACTCACCAACACAAAGCACATCCCTAGAATGATGCCAAGCAGAGTTAATTTAGAGTTTGCCAGCATTACCAAAGATTATCACGCAAGAAGCCAATTTCAGTCTCGTATGGTTTGCTTCGTGATGCATGTTTGGAGCAGTTGGCTAGCATTGCATACATCTGTAAGAAGGTGGTTAATCCAAATTACTTCACCAGGCTCTCTGAGTGGTAAGATTTATGTATTTGATTTGTTATGTGAAGTCATCCATTCAAACAGCTAAGTGCTTTATACATATTGTGTTTACATACCTGTCCTGGCAGAACGTCACTAAACTTTATCCCCTTCACATGAAATAATTCTCTCCATTTTGAAAAAGCACTTCTAATCTTGATTGTTGCTTTAGCACATGTCTTGTTAGGTTTGGCAGCACAGCGTGTTTGTTCCCCCCACAATACTATCACCTGGTGGTGCAGTGACCTACCTGCACAGAGTTGAGATGGCAGTACCCATTTAGAGGAAAGCGGATGACGTGAGTGGAGTCATGGTTCCATCCTGCGTTCACTGAATTACACATGACGTCTCCAATTTCAGGGAAGATGTCCTCAATGAGAGCCTTATCCCCGCTCAGCGTGATCCTTTCACCTAACTCAGGGGCCACTCGAACCACCACACACTCACACAGCCGCGACACACTCCCCGAGTCTCGCTCTGAGCGCCATCGCTCCAGCTCAGTCTGCAGCGGCTGCAGCTGGAAATACCGCGCCTCCTCATACAGCAGAGAATAGTCCTGCACATACACAAACACACATACAAACAAACAAACAAACAAACACACACACACAAAAGGATAAATCAGATATAAACACATAGAGAACAATAAGTCTGACTGATGTTTGTGTGTTAGTGCCTCTGTCTGAAGATGTGTGTTGGATAATGGTCAAGTAACAAGTAAATTTTAATACTTTTTAAGATGTTTGCATAAAGAAATTGTTAAGGTACCCAATACATTGTTTTGCGATAGTTTGTTTGAGATAAAGTTGAGGCATGAAATATGCTTTTAAGTAATTCATGACAGAGTGGTACATGACGAGAGACAAAATGGTACCCAAACTTTTTTTTTTTTTTGGTAACCAATATTTTGCCATTATCAACAAGACACTGGTCATTTTGGATAGTAAATAAAACGTCTATATTTGCACTGTAGACATCATGACCCCTGGTTCCTATCGTCATCATTGTTAAGAAGATTAGAGTTGATAAGTTTATCTACAGTGCACCATTTTGTATCAAACCCTTCTGAATGACTTCGCTTACATCTGTGCAAACAAGTTACACAGAACTCTTGAAAAATCTGTGGAATTTTTTATTTAAAGCATTGATTTGGCAAAAAATTTACCCACTTCAAATGTACTCGATCAGTTAAGACATGTTTGTTGTCCAAAGTTTTGTTTTTGTGTTTTTTCTTTAGTTTTGCAGTGGAGCTATGAGACTAATGTAGCCAACAAAAAGGGAAGCTTGTACACCACCTTATGTGCTTGCTTATGTGGTTTCTGACACACTATGACAAATTGTTGTTTCTAAAAATTCTCTAAAATATGCTGCATAGTTAAATGCACCTATTCACAGCCTTCAGTTTTGTCTGTACTTTTGTCTAGTATGTTCGATATGTCAGGAAAATAGTGTAAATGTGATTTTTGCTATTGCTTTAAATTAGACTATCAAGTCTGTAACTGTGTGAACTGTAATAGGTTCTCCAGTAGATGTACTGATTGGATAGGTCCAAGATTTGGGGAAGGGGCCAGACTCACCTTAAAGTCATCTGGGATAAGTAGCTTGGATGTCCTGAGGAAGTTGAGGATGTAGCGGAACATGTGACCATCACGATCGATGAAATAGTGCTGCTTCAGACTGTCTAGCACTATGGGCTCTGTTCCATCAAACAAGCGGCCAATCCTGAGAGGGAATTACAGAAAGTCTTGGTTTCTCTCAAGGTTTTTACTTCATGCTCTTAGAGGGTTTTTCATTGCCAGTGTTGCTTTTGGCTTGCTCAGCAGGTGCTTTGCAACCATAACTGTTGTTAGAAGCATTATAAAAATAACGTGAGTACAGAGTGATATATAGGAGGGATTCAGCACACTAAAATTTTGAGAACTTGTGTAACATTCAGACTTTTGAGAGATGGATAGACACAGGAACATGCCACATGAGGGAGCTGCTGTATGTTCAAGTGCATCTGTGTCCTTATGTGTGCCGCATGTCTCTTAACTACATGCCAGTTTGATAGTGATTCTAGTTCATCACAGGCTCTGTGGACACACACACACACACACATATGCACCAACATCATTATCAGAGATCAACATCAGAATGGGCATGACTGGAGGCAACTTTGCGTCTGCTGATGCAGATGTCACTGTCATGTGCAATGCTGTGATGATGCCGTCATAGCTAAGATGTGGCCATAGCCAGGGGTGAAATGGACCACAGCTGCATGTATCACTCATTACCTCTAACCACACCTCTGTAGACCACACCCAGGACATGAAGCGCAAGTATGAAGACAGAACACAGATGTAGCGAAGCACTGTGGGTAAAACACTGTTTGCTGTATGGATTTGGGGAAGCTGAGGATCATTATGCGAATGCTATTATGATTATATATCTAAGATGATTTGACAGATTGATAGCATAATTCTTTTTTGCTGTTTGTTTATCTTAAATCTGAGATCTTCTTGGACACCATGATATTGAGTTAATAAGTTGCGGTGTGAATGCTTGAGACTGCTCTATATTGAGACTGGAGGTAGGGCTGAAAGATTAATCATTTGTATATTGAAATCACAATTTGAAAGAGTGCAATTTTCTGTTATAGCTCATATTATTATTAGTGTTGTTGTAACAAATTTTAAGTGGGAAAATATAGCCCAATAACATGGAGCTCCAAGAAGCAACCAAATGTGAAATCACAACTGCACCTAACTGTCAGTCTGGCGCACTACATTTAGCGTTCAAATTTCAAGCCAGATAAACTGGATTTGCAGGTGTTCTTGTCCAAATAAACAGGCCGTGAACTTATTTTATAGAGAGAAAGTCACAATCACAATATTGGTAAGAAAAACCACAATTAGATATTTTCTCCTAATCCTTTAGCCAAAACTGGAGATGTGTAAGACTGTTAGAGAAGGTATGATTAATATTATGAGACTGTCTGAAAGACCTGTGAAACTGGAAGTGCATTAGTGTCTGTGAGACCTCAAGCTTGCCAAACTTTGTGAGACTGAGACTGTATGACACTTTAAGAGAGAAACTGGCTTTGATAATACATATGTGGAAATTTTAAAAGAAATATAACATAATTAACATATATATGTAAAATGTATTCTGTGAAAATCCTTTGGTTATCATAAACATTTGATTTTCGTCCAACATACGTCTGCTCATGTTAAATAGCTTCATTATTTCCCAGTCATACCCAAAAGACATATTTTGAGGTAATGTAAGATTACTAGATGCTGATAGCAGGCTCTCTGTACATATTCTGCCTTTGTCAGACTGAAGCAGGTTGAACTGCTTAGAAGGTAGCTAATAGACAAACAGACTCCACCAATGATACTGTATTTAGAAACAAGCTTTAATCTTTAGTTTTTAATAAAAGAGCCACTGTAAAACTACAAACATACAAGTTGAGGAATATGCAACCTAAATGGCCGTTACAAGTTTCAGATGAACGTTGTTAATCTAGAGTTTGCAATAAATCCCATAGAGTGTGAATATATTCATTAGCAAAAAGTTGTCTTAATTAATAAATTTAGTTGTTTTTTGTGAAAAAAAGATTTCATGATTTAGACTGTGCAGGTTTGTGTGAGAGTTTGTAAGACTGTATGAGGTTGTGTGAGACAGTATGAGGTTGTGTGAGACTGAGATTTTATGAGATTGTGAGAATGGGTGAGATTTTATGAGACTGAGTATGAGAATGTGTAAGACAAAGACTGTGTCTGGCTAAGTAATCTGTGTGAGATTTTTATGAGACTATACAAGCATGAGAACATGTGAGACTGAAACTGTATGAGACTGTGAGACTGAGTGAGAGAGTGCAAGACTGAGAGTCTGAGACTATGAGACTGAGGCTGTATGGGATTGTGTGAGTCTGTAAATCTCTGTGAGACTGCATGAGATTTGTGTAAATCTGTGAGACTGAGATTTTGAGTCTGTATGAGACTAAGTCTGCGTAAGACTGTATGAGATTTTGTGAGACTGTACATCTGTGTGAGACTGTATGAGATTGTGTTGAGGTGTTAAGGGGACTGTGTATGATAATATGAGCGTATGAGACTGATATTATGTGAGACTGTGTGAGACTACATGAGAATGTGATTTTGTGTTTATAAAACTGAGATTGTTTGAGAGTGTGAGACTGTATGTGCTTTTATGTGACTGTGTGAGATTATATGAGAGCATTTGAGACCCTATGAGACTATATGAGTGTGTGAGATTTAATGAGACCAAGCGAGACTGTATGAAGGAGAGACTTAGTAAATGGCAGTAAGACAGACACTGTGCTGGCCGGAGACTCAGTGCTGCAGGCTTCTCTGCCTCCCCTCTGATGTTTGACTCAGTCAGCAGCCACAAGACATTAATGCTCCCTGGCACTGCAGAAATGTACCGGTCAGCGAGCTAATGAGCATAGACAAGACAGACAGACACACACTACCACAGAAGGGGCAAGCTCCCTCAGACATATAAGCAATGTAAAGGACAAACGACTCATACATGAAGCACACATACGAACGCAGACAGCATGACATCAGTTTTAGAAAAGCAAGGCTAATAAGCAATTATGGATGACAGGGGTGTCACGATGAAGAAAGGGTGAAAGAACAAAGAACAGTGGCATCATGACTAATGAAAAAACAGCTAGATGGGATATGGAGTTGAGTCACAAAGGAATGCACAATGGAACAGACATAACCTAAAACCCAAAATATACAGCTCGGAGCACATCGGCCTAGAGCGTGCCAGCTAAACTCACGGTTCTGTTCCGTTATTAATAGTGTGCTATGTTGTGTTTTACCTGGATTCAGGGTATTTGGTGAGTGTGGCGAGGCTGCTGGTATACATGTGTCCACCCACGTCGATGTGCACTGGCGCATTGGCCTTGGTGAGCTGAGCGGGCGTGGGGATGCCAGCTGTGCCCAGCGGGGAGGCCGGTGAGCGAGCCAACAGTGGCCGAGTCGACATTGCCACACTGCTGCTGCGATGCTCCTGTCACACATACAGCAGGACATTAGTGAAGACCATTTTTATGAGTATGGTGCACAAGTCATTATCTGTATGAAAGATTTGGGGTCATTTGGCAAACAAAATATTGAAGAACTTTCCATATTTCTTTTTTCCTTTGCTCTTAGTGTCTTACGAAATAGAATTAAATGGACAGGGCAGAGTCCAGAGCAAAAACAGGAAAAGAAGATGGGCTGATAGTTGAGTGGAGGCGACACACACCTTCTTGCACACACTGCTAGCTCGAGCTTGAGGATGTGGGTATGTATGTGTGTGTGTGTGTGTGACAGGGAGAGCGAGCGAAAGAGAGGAGACAAGCAGAGAGAGCAGAACAGTTGGACAGACACCCTGGAGGCAGCAAATGTGTCCCTGTGGGACTGCAGTGAATGTCCAGTCCCCTTAATGGCTCATGTGACCATGTGACGAGAGGACAGTACTGAATTTAGGCCATGGCACTGACGGGCAAGAGAGGTGAAAATGATTTCAAAAAATAAAATAAAACAAAATAATTCAGCAACACAAACCATATCCTGTCAAGAGCCAGACAATCACACAGTTGTGCATTCGTACAAAAACTCATAGTATAGCAATGACCACACCAACGGTCAAAAAAATTGCTGTCACTAATTTTGCTGTCAGCAGGTAATTACAGTCATTACTGTGCTTGTGCTATAATTGTTCTCATTAGCATCTGCAAGGCTACTCCAGCATTCTCAGAGATCATATCATCTGCTTGTGCTGTGAAAAAAAGCTGCTCGCCGAATCTCAGCGGTCAGCATTTAGCGAAGCGCAATGCAACAGCCACCGGCAAACTCTCGCTCTTTTAAAGATGAAGAAAGCAAACAAAAAACAAAGCATAAGTGTTGCTAGTGCGAGCCTGTCTCTGTGCCCATTTAGCCGAGAGCAGAGTAATCTTATCTGAGGCGGACTGTCTTGCAGGATGAGCCGTGCGGAGAAGATGAATTCTACGGGCTGGCTTATATACTGACCTGAAAAAAACAAGCATTAACCCTCTGTAATCATGCACACTGTGTGCTCGAGTCAGGCTGCCACAGTACAGCACTGATAAGTGAACTGCAAAACAGGGTGTACGCAGGGCTTTGCTTAAAGCTTTTGGTAGAAGTAACTCAGACCATTGATCTGTTTTCAAGGCTTTGAAAGACATTTTCCATAATGAAGCAGTTCATTCTGCTGGCTTTTGGTGCATCCTATTTAAAATGACATGATTTGGAGCCTTAAAATATGCTTAGTGGACAAATCGAATTAGTCATTAAGGACGTTAGCATCATATTTCTTTGACATTTTATGTTTATTTCTGTATATATCTGCATTTATGAGGCTTTTGCTTGTTTCTGACACAATAGTAATAAGCCACCTGTCTGAGAGTGAAAGTCTGTGTCCACCCACTGCCTCCAACACACACAAAGCATTTTTAACCATGCCATTAACCATGTAGCACGGTCCACAGCCTCAGCAGGCTTGGACAGTGCAGATGTTAGACTAGCTTGTAAAGTGCTGGCCCTGCAGAGTTTAGTGTTTAGCCTGCTCTAACTGGCACTTGGGCTGGGAGTCGATCCAAAAAAGAATCAATTCCTTAATTCCAGGCATTTGGGAATCTAGAGTTATCTTCAAAGCTTTGGGCTCCACACGGCGATGTTCAAGTTTGCCCGCACCCGAGTACATCCAGAGTGTGAAATATTCTGCTGTCACTGTCTAGACAGTGTACACAGAATGCAGGCTGCCAAACATACATCGATAGTCCAGGTGTATATAATCTTTGTAACCAAAAATTGGCTGACAGTCAAACATCTACCCACCTGAAGAAATGGAGAATCAGGTACAGCTTATCCAGCCAGTGTTAGTGAAGTTAATTTAGCTAGCATTAGCTCTCCAAGTTTCCTGGCTAAGAATAAATGTAATTAACATTGTGCACTCTTAAAGAAGATGGTTCTTCAAGAGTTCTTTGGTAGAGATGGAGAATGTGTTGTATATGGTTCTATATAGAAACCTTTTTTTAAAAAGGTTCTGTATAGCACCAAAAAGATTTCTTCTATTGTTACAATGTCAAGCTTATAACTGCCATCAATCTGAAGAACCTTTTCATGATGCAAAGAACCTTTTAAGCATGCAAATGGTTCTATATGAGTGTTTATTCTTTTATACAGAATCAGTGTCTTTACTAAAGAACCCTTGAAGAACCATCTTTTTTAAGACTGTATTCTTTATTTTTGCCAGATGTCCTTTTCTAAATCTTGGATTTTGGAATCAGGATTATTAGGTGGAATCCATTGATTGCTGTCACCTGTAATTAGAACTGGCACTGAGTTTAATTCAGGTACGGCTTGTTAATTGACCTATGTGATTTATGCTCCGCCCACACAGTCCTTCAGAGCAACTTTTGCAAGGCTGAGGATGCCTTACTCACCATTGACAAAAATGCGGCTTGCATTAATGAAACATTTTAGCACATTTTGTTTAGAGTCAGGTATCCAGTTTAAAATGCTGGACTACGTTGCTTGAGCTATTTGAAACTAACTTTGAAATGACAGTAATGATTTCACCTTCATGCTAACTTTTAATGAAAAAATGAAAAATTCATATGCATAAAAAATAAATAAAATTTAAAATTGGCAACAAACTCTACATTTCTGCATAATTAAATCATTTGCTGCCTTGGGTCAAGCCTCATTCAAACAGCAGTCCAAGCCAAATCATTCCTTACAAGTTCAGTGAGAATGGATAGGCTGAATAGATGGATTTATGCAAATGTTTTGGGTTTGTGACATCATAAAAACAATTCAAAACAGGCTTGGCTTCCATATATTTTTGTATGAAGTGGGGAGGGGACTTCAACAATGTTTACATACTATATTAAACTCTTATTTAAAACTAAGAAAACTTTTTTTTCAGAATATGGACGCTTTAAATGTCATTCATGGTGGACAGGTGCATACAGGGTGTTGTAAGACTAATACTAGTCTTACAAACTTCCTCTGTAGTGCACCGTTTCACATAAAGCCACTCAAACTGACATCAGTCACAACTCAATGATTGAATTCTGAAGAAAAGTTAAAAAAAATCAGTGGAATTGTTTTTCCAATGTTCTGTAAAGTTTGACCAACCTCTCAACAGTTTCTACAAAGGAAAGCATTTGGTAATCAAGGTAACACTAGAGAGGGATACACAGACGGCAGGGAGAGTTAAAGACCATCATTGAGAATGACTGGACAAGTCTGTGCAAAAGTCAGAGGCCGCCTTATATTTATTTACTTTCCAGTCAAAATTACCATTAAGCACAAGTTATTCATTTTTAGAGATATGTATGTGGAGATTGGAGTTTTCAAAATTGCAATTCAAATCAGAGAAAATGCGACTCCGAACAACTGTGCAAGACCTAGTAGACCACCAAAACTGTCACCACCAGATAAACAGTACTTAAAGATTTCATCTTTGAAAGAAAATCAAGCTCCACTCTTGATTCATATCTGAATTATCCACAGATGTTTCTGTCCATCCTTCCACTGTGAGAAGACAGCTCAGTATTATGGGGCTGAAAGAATGTGCAGCTGTCAAGAAGCTGTTACTGAAAAACGAAAAGTGAATCTGCAAGTCAAACAAAGAGGCTGCTGGTATTCTCAGAACAATGGACTGACCACCCCAGAGTCCAGACATCAACATCACTGAATGTGTTTGGGATTACTTGGCCTGTGAGAAGCAGAAATCCAAATTTCTGCATATTTCTTTAAAATAACTGAGAGCAAGTGTCCTGAAAAGAGCAGAAGCTGTAATAAAGGCAAAAAAGTAATATCATAGTTAGTTTGACTGGAAATTGAATGTAGGGGGTCTCTGACTTTTGCACAGAACTGTTAATATGAACATTGAATAGCAAAGGGGCAGGGAATGATGACTCTGTTCTGATGATGACTGAACTCTAATGGAACAGGCATGATATGGCACAGCTGAGATTCAACATACCAATGGAAGGGTTCATGCTTTTAGGTGTAGCCTCAGGAGGTAACACCTATGATGAAAACGTATTGGTGAGGCATGTGTATAAATAAGAGTGTGCAGACTGACACACATGCTGAGCTGAGTCAGTAATCAGTGTGTTTGTGTGTGTGATGGAGAGAAATGTGTGTAGAGGGGTCTATTACATTCCTCCAACTGTTGTGTTGCTACACTGCAGTGTTGTTGTATAGCCAGAACAGGTGCCAGAACGATACTACTACACATTTCTCCTCATAAACTTTCAGTTTTCTGTTAGTTCTGTTACTGAGCGTCCTGAACAGGGTGTTCTTAGTACCGTTTTCATGTCTGAATGATGAACACTCCTGTTCCTGCCACACAGAGCTCCCTCATTTCAGGAGAACATGAGCAACCATACCTTCTACCTTAACCTATCAGAAACCTCAGCTTCCACACACTTCTGTACTTTATATACTCTAATGAATGCACTATTTTTTTTTTACACATTATTTAGTGCTGTAGTATGTGGTTTGGGACACGGCCCACCTTTAGCTACATAACATTAATGACCTGTAGGTCCAGGTGAGCTCTGATCGGTCCAGCTCAGGGTTTAATCTGAAGCCGGACTGGAACACCGTCCAAAGCCACACAGTGAAGCCCCTAACCAAATGGAGGCTTGAAAATATTTGCCAGCAGACAAATATTTTAGATGATGTGCAGAGATGAGTCAAACAGGACACAGCGGCAGAAGTGTTTGCTTTATTGAGTTGAGCGTGAGAAAGTGGATTTATGATGACTCGACTGGTGTCGCGAAGTTTGATGGAGAGCAAGGCCACGCTGAGAAACTGCTGATGGACGTGGGCGCGAGCGAGCCGTGACAGAGACGTGACGTGACATCAATAGCCCGTCAGATTTAAAGAGGTTTTGCCTTCTTTTTTTTTTTACCTGCGCTGGTGGCACGTGCGTGGCCTCTCCGTTGTGCTCGCGCGCGCTGACCGCGATGATCGCCGGAGGCTCGG